TATGATTTCTGGGTGAAATTCACAATGGTATTTTAGCTATACTGAAGAAGGGTGAAGTGAAAGATGGAGAAATTGAGTCCTTGTTAACACACTACAATGAACTGGCTGAAGAGCTAGAAATAGGGCTGACAAAATAATGCAGACTTTTGACCACATCCAGGTAGAAAATGTTTTTTCAGCCTCTACAGGAGTTCTTTTCCCCCTGAGATTTCAATTTTAATAAAGTATCTTATTTTCAAAAGTGAAAACCAGATGACAATTGAAATAAGTTTGGAAGTGCATCCGTGGTTACAATTAGTTACTCAAGCCCCTCTTCCCTTCTGTGGTCCAGAACTCCTCAGCAGAGTACTGTTCCATTTTGGTATAATACCACTAGAGCCCTATGACTGTGATGCCTGCTAGGACATACTGTGCAGCTGGGGAGACAGAAAAATAGGACATAAGATACCTGGGAGTGCAAACCTCACCAGGCTGTTGGCAGTACATTTCAACCACTACCATGTCCTCCTCCATTTTGAAGGATCTGGAAATATAGTCCATGGGCAGCTGTGTCCAGCACAGGGACTCTTTAATTCTTAAGTTTATTAACATCATGGTAACAGACTGCAGGTTACCTTTGTTGTAGAGCCTCAGCCCATACATTAATGGACACTCCATGAAAACCTGAGAATAATCATCTTGTTCTTCATTTTACTGACTTTTTCTTGAGTCTCACACATTAATTATTTTATTCCAGACTGAATGGTGTGCTTCCTGTTGAACAAAACAGTATTTTTTTTATTTGCTTACAGTACAAGTAAAACTAGAAAATAAGAGTTAAATTAACTTCTATTCCTATAAAAAAAAAAAAAAGTTGAAAAATTTTCTCTGCAGAGGTTTCTCATAAACTCTAATTGAAGTCTCTGTTTTTTACATTCAGCTGCCTCCTCTCAGAATCAATCTTTTAAAAAATAAGGTAAAAGCAATTACTTCAATGCAACATTAATACACATAGTTTAAGCAACCTCAGTTTAATAATTTCAGTGAGATTATACAGGATTACAGAATCTGAAATGGATACAGTCGAAGAGTTAAATATTCAAAGCCAATTTATTTGTCAAAATCTTTCTGATGAAAGGCTTTGTAGCATGAAAACAATTATAAGCAGATATCTTCTTAGTGTAACAGAAACAGTGTTAAATTGGTTTACTTTTATATAACATGAATGTGATAAAATATTACTGTACAGTTAAAACACACAAATAATGCTTAAAATAAAATGCCCATTCTTTTCCAAAATTTCTATGATGTAATAAACCTTTGTTACAGTACTGTTGAACAGTAGGCTATTAAATTACATTTGATCATTTTTGTCAGAAGACCATGAGAAATCAAGGTAAATGGTACAACTTAGAAAATATTCTAATTTATTCCAAAAATGGCAAAACAAAATTTGAAAAAAAAAAAAAGTTGCCACTGTTCCCAAATCCTTGCTCTGCTGTGCATCAGACACTAAAATGAAAACTCTGAACAGTTTCCCTCTTTTGCCCTTCACTAAAATGCAGGGTCATACAGACGTTAAATTGTAGCTTTCCTCCCTCCGTCATTTTTGTTGTACTATACAGTGCAGCCACAGAAGACACCAGAACTCCCTCTCCTTCCTGCCTTCTCCCTTTGAAACACTCCACAGCCAAGGAAACATCGTCCTTGTCCCACTTTGGTGTCCTCACAGAAGTCCTTCTCCCTTTCTTTCATATCCTGCCCTTAAACATCACCACATGTCTGACTTTCCTGAAGGCTTCACTGACCACCAAGCAGTAGGGTGTTCTTCAGATGATCAGTCTTGCGTTAAAATTGGAGCACTGAAGCATGGACTGAAACACAGAGGTTCTGCCTTCTAAGAGATTCGCTTCCAAACAGCAATAATGCAGCTCTCCCTCTTAAGAAATTTTTAAATTTGAACTCTGGCAGCAGACATAGAAACACCCATCCCCTGCAATTAAATGGGGCCTTTTATGTTAAATGAACTCGGGGAGGCAAGATGACATGTAACAGCAACATTCATTTAGGAACAGTTGCTTCATCACTGATAGAATGTATGTGCTGAAATTTGGAGGAAAGGTTTAATTACCTGACTGAAGGCTTATCTCAGCTGCTAAACTAATAAACATTTACTTTTTTAATACTGTAACTTCCAAACTTCTCTAGTCAATCTTCCAGCACAGATAGAACAAAACTTTCTAGCAACACATGCACAAAGTCTCCAAAACCTTCTTATTTTTAAGGAATTTCTGTGGAAAAGTCAGCTTTGAAACCATGACAGAAATAATCTGATGAACAACTGTCTACTCCTACTAACACATATACTTTATCATTAACTAGCTTTTATTTGCTTTTAATATTCTTGCAGGGAACGTTTTCTCCAATCTGATAAATCCAAAGCACAAAATTCTATCAGCTTTTCGGGAACACAGAAGAATTTAGAGTCTATTTTGTTAGATTCCCACAGAGGTACTGACTTCATGTTTCAAGGAAGACAAAAAACCCGCTATGTATGACTATTTTAAAGAACCTATCGTGAATGTACCCAATCACAGTGTAGGCTAACCTGCCCTGGAACAAACACTAGTTTATAGCATTAATACACCCAATTTCTACTTTTAACTGCTGTTTGTGAAGGTGTATAAACTGTCTGAAGCCTAAATTATGCAAAAGCAAACCTGCAATTACTCAAGGCATGGAAATTAAATTACCCTATATTTACTCTCATCCAGCTGATAACAGAATCTGGAGCTTAAGTTTAACTGAATGGTGCCTGGAGGCCTTGGGAAAAGCTCTGGAGTAACCTAACTGTACCCAACACATCAATGAGGCCCCCAGAGGCCTGGGGAGAGACCTGGAGCTGTACTAGCTGGACAGCCATTACAAGACAGCTTTCTCAGTAGGTCTGATTATAGGCTTTACAAATTACAAAATTATCTGGAAAATGTGCTCCCATCCAGCTTCAGCAGCTGGAATCACTGCTAGAAAATGAATGTTGCTTGTTAAAAACATGTCAAGTTGATGGCTAGAACTTAAAGCTGTAGGACAGATGCACCCAGACTTTTCCAGCTACAGACACAGTATTTTTTCTTTTATTATGATGTTTTACATAAAGCTGTTCTGAGCCACTTAAAACAATCTACCATTTCATATCACTCTTTTTATTCTTTTTCCTTACCATGTCTCAGTGCCTGGGTCCATCTAGATTCCTTCCTATTGCTGGTATTCTTATCTAGACTTCTCCATTACCAGCTTTCATTCCTAGAGTACACCCATACAATTATCTTTAACAAACAATATCGCAGCATAAATCTCAGGCCTACGAACCTTTCATACTCTGTGAGAACAAAAGCATTCAAAGCGAACTCTGGCAACTAAACCTAAGCAGTACAGTTTTCCTGAGTCCCAAATTATTAATTTCAGTTACAGTTTAATAATTTTTAGCCTTACTGTTTGCAACTGATTGTCCTAGAAAAATGCTGTGTGCAAGTTGAATGCCATTAAAAAAATCCATGTAACAAAAACATGAAGTTAAAATAACCACAGTTATAGAGAAAGATTGCCCAAGCAGAATGATTTTCAGTTTTCACATTAAGTTTATTTGTACATAAACAAAACATACAAGGAGACAGATACAAATGTGAGCAATTACAGAATCAGTAGATGAACGACAGCACAAATAATAAACAAATGCCTAACATACACCTGGTTTCATATCCTAAAATTTCCCGTTCTTTAGGAGATAAATAGATTCTTGAGCTTTGCACTAAAATATATAAACAGTTCCTGAACTTTTTAACACTGAAATCTACTCATTAGATTCAATTATCACTTTAAAATACCGAACTGTCAAGGATGTATTCATTTCCTCTTCCTCTACATGGGAATATATTACCAAAACATTCGCTAGACACCTAAAAAAAAATATTACGATTTTAACCTGCAGGAACAGAGTCTTCAGCCATTAAAACAGACAAGCGAGTGTGTCCGTACAGAAATCCACAGACTTCCTCAGAAGGAAGAACCAGAGAACTGAATCGCCCAGCCTAGTCTTAGCAGAAGCCTGAACAACAGAAGGTGGCGAACTGGCGCCACCCTCCGCTGTGAAGCTGGAAATGTTAATTTTTCAGCTATGATAAAACATTGCATTATTCTTACCCGATCATCCTCGACTTTCTGCTGAGATATTTATCTCCTGCCAGCCCACTATGCTAGTCTCTAGGTTAGCATACACTCAAGTAAGATCCTTTCTTATGGCGTTTAAATCAATCATTCACGTCCACAAAACGTATACACCAATTTATTTCAGAATTATATTCCAAACTCTCCTTAGTAATAATACTACAAAACACCTTGACAACAGTTAACCTACTAATGCCCTCCAACGACTGATCTTGCTAAAACAATATTACCTCATTATTTTGCTACTCTTAAGGGTGTTAAGCAAGCAACTGTGAGCCTTACTTTTGCATTTGGAACCAATATTTCAATGCATATTATTAGAGCAGATACCACTCTCCAGGTTTAGGCTGTATGTAGGACCCTTACAGACAATGGCTGTAAGGACAATTACAATACAAAGAAATTTTAAAAACAGCTCCTGAATATACCCCACAAAAGAACAGATTGTTCATTTTGTAGAAACCTTTCCCTTGGGATATCACTAGCAAGAAATAAATCTTTCTGTTCTCCTGAACTTTTATATGTAATTTTGAGTCTAAAAAAAACACTTCAAAAAAGACTTCCACTATTATCATTTAACTCCATTTCAGAGCATCATGCTTTCAAATAACTGTACTTAAGTCTGTGAGTCTTAAGTGACTACAAATATCTTTTTTCCTTTAAAATTGATTAGAAGGCATCATTTGATGTTTCTTATCACTACACAATATTAGGCTTCAGTTTATTTGCCAGTCAGACTTAGAACTGAGAAATATAGGACTCTATGTTTGTTAGAAAATTCAATACAAGGAACCTACCTCTATTAGTACTTGGAGCCTGAGTCATCCAGCTTAAGAACCTTGCTAGGCTGCAGCACAATTCTCTTCTTTCGTGGCCAGCTTTCATTCTCATTGCAAAAAGGCTCTATAGGGAAAAGAACATCTCCATCTGAAGTTGTACTGAGATACTGCAGTAGCACACACACGGACACAGAGAAGCAAAGTACTCCTGGGTCTCACAAATTACATAAGCTTACATGAACCAAGGTAAACAATTTTACTATTTGTCAAGTATAGTCTATGATACCAAACTTCATTTGTCTAGTACTCCGAGATTATTATACAGGGTGAGCAGCCACCAACGGATGAAAGGTTGTAAACAGCACATGCATATCACATAAAAAATTTTGAAACAAAGGGATTTATGGAGACATTACACAATGAGACAAACACATGACAGGCAACAAGACGGTGCAAGTTCCTACAGAAACCCAAGAGACAGCAACGGCACAGACAGCTAATAATGCCACCTGACTAACCACCAGGAACATAGTTTTCTGTCTGTATTGCTCTCAGGTTGATTTTCCTACCACTGCAACTGCTGGCAAGTTTGCATGCTAATTCTGCTTAGGAATTTGACCCTGTGAGAAGCAGTGATTACTAAAACATGTAACAGAAGTTACACCTTGCTCAGGACTTACATGCTCTGAAATCAACATTCCCCTTCCCCCTTTTAAATGGCCACTGCACCACTTAGACAGCTGCGCTTTTATGCGAACCTGAGAACTAGGAAGCCTCTGCTTTATTTTAGTAAGCACCTTCTCTAAATTAGCAAATGCACAGGTAAGTTTTACAGACTGTAACTCAGGGTTGAGCTCTCCTTCATGCCGATACATTAAAATGGCAGGTGTATAAGCTCTTTAAGTTTGCACAAAACCCAAATACTCATGGGCAAATTAATTTTCTGTGTACAGGCACATTAAAAAAAAAAAAAAAAAAAAAAAAAAAAGAGTTTCACCTGTTTTTCTGGTAGGGGTGGAGCTCACCTATAATGAAACACTCATTACCGTGGGTGGTGCTGCACCCACCGTTGGTACAGAAACCCCTCACCCAGTTTTATGAAACTTCTTCAGGTGATTGGGCTCACAGAGATCTAGCAGGTTTGTGTTTTACCAGTCACTGCTCCTGAATTCCGAGGTGCTGCGCTACCCTGCTACTGGAGAAGATACACGGGCTGTGCGCTGCGCCACCCTGCTACTGGAGAGGACACACGGGCTGTGCCTACAGAGGGACATTCGCTCAGCAAAGTAACCCAAATAACCTTTTAAAAGTTAACTGATGCACAGAGTACCAGGCGCAGTTAAAGGCTAGTTTGAGCACCCGGCTGCGGTTAGTTGTGCCTCTACCCACCTGACCGCCCCCCAGGCCGCCGCCTCTGAGGCGCACACCGGCGCCGCTTCCCGCCTTCCGCCCCGCCGAGGCAGCGGGCGCCAACGAGCGGGCCGGGCTCCCGCAGCCGCCGGGCCCAGCGGGGCTCTCAGCCGGCCTCGCCTCCCGCAGCGGGCGCGCAGGCTCACGGCAGAGCCAGAGCGCTAACCCCGGCCCGGCCCGCCTCGGCAGCGGCGGTCCTGCCGCCTCCGCAGGCGGGGGGCTCCGCGCCCCGGCCCCTCCGCGCTGCCGGCGGCGGGCGGGCGGCAGCCGGGCGCTGAGGCGGCGGGGCGCGGGCCGCTCGGCGCTCCCCACAGCCAGCGCCAAAGGGGATGGCCGTGCTCAGGTGGTGGAATTAGCCGTCCCTCTAAGGTGGCCTACAATAACACAGCAACAGGGGCAGATCACTTGTTTCCTGACGCAAGACGTTTCCCAAATTGCTATCTACACTCTCCCAAGGAGCCTTCAGCAGGAACCTGCCGGCTCACCACTAACACTCACCCATTTCTCCCTCAATTTAGCTGGTTGAGGTGCCATGAGGTGTCAGAGTTCACAGCTCTGAGGTTACCAGCTCCCACCCTCCTTGGCAACTCTGCAAGTGATTTTTTCCACATTTCCTTAACACTTTTCCAATAGATAATTGAAAGTATTACACAATACAATAACAGAAATTACTTATTAAAAGGAAATGCTTGAATATAGGACTAGAAAAATCTTAATTTTATAAAGCATGTAATGAATGGGGTGGTTGTGAAACACCTACCACAGTGACCTGTACTACAAGACTTTGATTTTACAAAACAGAGCTGGAAAGCAAAATCCCTTTGCTACAGTGAAGGGATTAAATTTTGCACAGAAAGTTAACTAACAGCTGTGTAGCACCACGTCAGCTGTGTAGCACCACGTCAGCTGTTAGTCAGTGTACCTTAGGACTGTTCTCTTGGTGAATTTACAATACCATGGCTTAAAATTAGATAGTAATTTATAGCAGAAGGGATATGCAGAGCTCTTCTAACCCGATACCACTCAAACCCAGTTAAGAGAGCTGACACTAACAAACACTGGAATTTGTGTATAGGGACTCAAATTCATGTGTTTGTGGTTTTTTTTTTTTTTTGGTTTTTTTTTTTTATGAACTGTTCCGTGTTAGCAGTTCTTGTTATTAATATCTGACCCGAGGAGTTATTGATATCTCCAAGATGTGTAAAATTGGCAACTGCTGAACAAGCAGAATCATCTGTAATGCTTGGCTTTTTTCCAAACAACCATATGAAAAGGTTAACTCTGAAATAAAGAATTTTATTTTGTGCATTTCAGAAATAAATGAATGACATTTTCTAAAATCAGCTGCTGCTGTGCTAGACAGACACATGTGAAACTTATCTTTCCATTTTACATTACAACATGCAGTGCAAGAATGATACATAAATTGTACTTGAATTCTCAAGTTAATAATCTTCGAAGGAATCAAGAGCTATTAACTGTACAAACACTGGTAACGATAAAAATTATTTCAATTTGGAGGAAGGAAAAAAAAAAAAAAGGTCTCAATACCATATAGATAAGAATCACCAACTGGAACACAATGGATTCACAGTTCTTACCAAGTTCTTTAGTTTGTTTCTAAAACATATTGGTTTGCTTATAACTTTTTACTGATTGTAGCTTTTCATTACCATAAGTTTTTGAGTGTATAATATAAATTATACTAATGAATGAAAATACAGTTCAGGATCAGTCAGCTATTTTTAGGGGATAATTACTTAGGAATAGAGTTTATCTAGATGAATACCAGCTCAGATAAGTGTTAGATTTAACACTGCTTGCTTTCCTCTTCATTTTTAAACCATCTGGCTTGACAAAGTGTTGAGTTGCTTTGTGATTAAAAAAAAAAAAAAAACAAAACAACCAAAAAACCAAACCAACAACAGAACCACGAACATAAAAATCAAAAACAAACAAAAACCTCAGTTTCCCCCAAAACGCACAAAAGCAATAAGCCACCCCCCAACAGTTATAACCTCAAATCTTATTTTTGTTGCTACTTAACAGCAAAGTCAACCGATACATTTTTTTTTCTTATTTAAAACATTTGTCACTAAAACTATGCTCAACTAATCAGTGCAGAAGCAACATTATAAGTGGGCATGTTCAGAAGTTGCATAATGTGTTTTTGTGTACACAGTGGTGATTTATCTTTAAAATTTTACTATTAAATTAGGAAAAAAAAACAAACTAGCAGTGACAAATATGCAGTCTCTATCAGCAGTGCAGTTTGCAAAACACTGGAAAGTCATCTGTAATAACAGAGGAGGGTTTTGATGAATGATTTCTCACGTTTTTTTTTCCAATACTGCAAGAGTGTTATTGCCAATATATGTAAGTTGACACCTTGTGGAAATCTTTTTCAACAGTAATAGCTCTTAAGCTGCACTTCCAATTTAAAAATGTTTTCATCAAGTAAGAACAATTTTTTCTGCCATATTGTTCCTTCTTTCTAAACCAGAGGAGCTATAAAACATACCTTGAAATAATAAATGAGAAATAATTATCTAGGAAGACAGTAAAAAGCTAGTGATACAGTAGGACATACATGTCTATATCAAGGATTTTGGAAAGTTCAGTACATAATGATACTCTATATGCCTCTTGCACGTTAAAAACATAATCTGTGGCTGACATTTCAGTAACATTTTTGATCAAATGACATCTCCCATGCATTGTGTCAAGAAAACAAAAATTTCCCAACCCATGTACTGCAGCAGCTCAAAAACTGAAGTACAATATAGACCTTCCCTAATCATAAGTTCTAAGTACTGAACACTTCAGCAAGGGAGTTCAAATACTGACTAACCTTTCAAATAAATAGTGTGACTGTAGGCGCTTCTTACTACTAATCTACACTCATCCTATTAACTTGCCCTTAAATGTATCTCTCTGTAACACATCTCCCTGAACAAGACAGCACACTTGCACTGTACTTTAGACAGGGTATGGAAACTTTAAAATATGGTTATAATAAAACCTTGACCTACATGTTATTAGTGCATTATAATTATACCCTGAAAATTTTTTTCACCATGTTGTCTAACATTAAGAAATGCAGTATCAGTTCTGCTTTCCCCACTGTGATGTGGGAAGTGTTGTCAGGCTCTCTGCCTGTTTATTGAACTAAGATGGAAAGATCACATGAATAGAGGGTTGAGAATTAGCAGCTGCACTTCTGTCAACCACTCTTCAGTTTGGGAACATTGAACTGAACTCAGTAAGGGCATACAGGCATCCAAATATCAAAGAACATGTGTTTTGCATCATGTTCACTGGATGCTGCTCCCAAAGAAAAACACATAGAGGTAGCATGCTTATTTTTGTTGGTGTGATTTCAAATGGCCTAGAAACCTTATCTTATCTTCTTTGGTGGTAGGCTAATCTTTTCCCACTGATGTTAACCGTTTCCACCTGCTTCAATAGAGCTAGGATTTTCTTAATAATAAAGGGCTGAGGTGACCATACCTCTTCAATAAATTAATTTAATTAAACAGTCAAGTACATTGACTTCTGTAGCTCTGCCCTCCCCTAACATACAGGCTGTGCATTGTATCACATGCACAGGTTTCTTATGAATTCTTCATGGTGCAACACAGATTTAAATGAAGAAATAGGTTTGCTGCATGGCCCACAGTATTTAAATAAATGTTAAAATGGATTAGCATATGATATTACCTTGTTATTGCTTAACTCTCAAAGTAGTTTACAGAGTTTTTGAGAATTTTCTAACTTCAAAGGTTGGTTTATCACAGTATTTGTAAGCTTTATTTCTGTGGTTGATTAATGGAGTGTTCAACTGAACACATACAAAAAAATCTCCGTAATACAGTTTAACAGAGAGACAACATAATATGCCTTCATTAATGTATGGTGCTACAGCACAAAGCATACCAAACTTAGGAAGCTATAGGTTAGTCTATTCCCCTTTAAGCATGCATTTGCAAAACATTCATTTACTCTTTAAGAGACAAAGGGGAAAAAAAAAAAAAAAAGTAAGAGCTGTGCTACTTATTTTGAGCTCAGGAAAGAGCCACCTCACTTTGTTACATTAAGATTTTGATTTGAGAAGTCTAAAAAACCAAAGCTACTTAATTTGAAGTTTGTGCATATTCATAAAATTGCTCCTTAGTAGAAGTTTCTGCATCAAGTGTGCACTGCAGTTTTGTTTTATTGTCATGGCCTGATTTCCAAAAAAAAACCCAAGCTCCACACAGTTATAGGGTATAGGAGCTGCTGGCATTCAGTATCTTTGGAAGTCAGGACACTGCTTAAGTGATTGTGTGGAACAGGACATTTCCCTTGCAGTATAAGCCAAGTGTTCGTTTATGCCCAATAATAAGACCACAGAAGTTTCATCAAATCAATCAAAAAAAACTTCTACAAGTCATAAAGGATTTCAAGGATAACACCAATCGACCAGGCCTGAGTTTCACAGCTAAAAGGGCAATACTGTCCATTTTCATTGGTCAGCTCTGGAAGCCCTTTCCAGGATGATCTAAGAAAAGAAAACACAAATGAGTTCTGTTGTTAGATTATACATTGAAATTAAAAGAACATTTCATTTCAAAGCTTTTAAGAAGATTATCTCAATAGGAAACTAAAAACCATGACTAAAGGTCTGTTGTCCTATAGGCACAATATGCCCTTTAATATCTAATTCAAATATTTATTTTTTCCTGAAGCTGTGAATTATAGTTTTTCATGGGGGTGCCTCTACTTCAGAGTAGACTCTCTGCTACTAATAGTATCTAAACTTACACTACTGGCATGTTGCTCCTGTTCTCATTGAGGTAGTTTTGCAGTTGCAAGAATACAAATGATCTTTGAGATAACTGAACTGTATTCAAACTACACTTGAAACAGGATTATGGTGCTAAAGAGAGATAACAGCTGGAAGATACTGTGACTACAGAAGCCTTTTCTTCCTCCATAGGAATAAAAAACTCCAAATACTAACATACTTCTGTAAATACTCATAAATTGAGCCTGTTGCTACATTAGTAATTCTGTACACAAATGAAATACCAAAACAGAGTAAAAGTACATTACTTCAGTAAGACAAAAAAACAAAGAATGTTACCAAACTGCAAGTTATTTGGTAATACTACCAAACAACACACTGGGACAAGACACTACATAAGGCAAGAAATTGCTTAACAAATCCCTTTTCTTCCTCATGTGGCCAGACAAACCCTTCTGTCATGACTAGTCTTAATGAGTTACTCTTATGGGTACAAATAAATGCATATTTGCACTACTGCAGAACAGATTATACAGAAGAGGTATCAAGGGCAAGATCTTTGTTTTGTTTGGTTTTGTCTCAAATCCTTAAGAATTAAAAATATAACAAGATATAAAAAGGGGGAAAGTAGCGTAGGCTTAGTGGTTTGGTTTTTAAGATGAAGAACTTAAAATGCAGAAGAACATTTAAGGGCCTTAAGCAAGTTCCTCTGCCTTCTTAGAATATCAAGGTTATTAAGATTCTGAAACACTGTCATACTAATTTCTTCATTTATAATCCAAGAAATCCTAACAATATTTTGCATCATCTTATCCACCACAATTTTAATCTGTCACTACTAGCCCTTTTTGTTTTGAAGGTTGTTTTAGCATAGCTTGATTTTTTAAAAAACAACTCACCAACATTTTTTTTCTGAAATTATTTTTTTTTGTATGAAATTAGATCCTAATTTTTACATAAGTTTCAATTCACCCAGTCTTCACATGGTTAAGTATTAGTAGTTCTGCAAGCTATAAAGAGCACTAGGTCTCAGCTGTACTTGAAACCTGACTCAAAATCCGTAATAGCACATAGCAGTGAAATATATATGTAGAAAAGAGATGCTGCTGTAAGATCTGTACTTTTACACGCAGCTGCATAGTGGATACCATTAGCTTGAATTAGTATTTTGAATCTGTGTGAATTGGTGTCTTACCTTTCAAGGTGAACGTAGTGGCGAGAAAGAACATTCTTAATCATAACTACAGTTTTTGCATATATCTCTGGACCAATCAACTTTGAGAAGTACAATTTGGCACGAAGAAAATAGCCAATCGGCCACAGCCATTCCTAAGCAAAAAATGAAAAGAGATTGTTATTAAGCTGTCAGTTTGGAAAGGTGACAGCATTTTTTCTAAAATTGAGGAAATTGACTCTTACAGGTCCTTGGTGATAATTAAAACCTCTGGCTACATTATAGTTGTCATTGTCAAGAGCATTATCATATACTCCACAGTAAACCATATCACTGCAAGAAAGAAAAAATAAATTATGCAAACAAAACCTTAATAAAATTGATGCACAAAAATGAAAGCAGAAGAGAACCAAAAAGTTGTCATGGCATTTACATTTAATTATGGTTAAGTCAGGGAGATCTCCACCGTTTTTTTTTTATTTTACATGACAATGGAATTCCAAATATGGTTTAAACTAGTAGGAAAATGGTTAAAATCTTGGAATTACTTGAATTAATAATTTTGCCCTTATGTTTTTACTCAAACTGTAGTGCTGTGCACTGTATCATATATAAGTATGTATCAAGATGCAAATTCAATATCTTTTATGATACCAAATTTGACTTGCTTCTGTGTGACATCCAAACACACCTGGTGATTTTCTACATAAATAAAATCAATTGCATGGACATTTAGAACAGCAGAATAATTGTTCTGGAAGTATTTATTGCACCTTATTTCACAGCTATAAATGATGATTTTAACAAAAGAAACACTACCCCCACATGTCAAATAATTCCTACTGTCATGTTTTGTAGTTAACACTTATTCTTATCTCTACTATACTTACTCTGGGTCTAAGGTTTTCATGCCTAATGGACCAAGCAGTTTTTCCTCTGCTATCTGCAGAGCTTTCCAAGCTCTCTCAGGTGTGAACAACTCAGGGGCCTAACAAAATAATAAAGATTTAATGAGTAAACTCTGCACATGTACACACATAAGACTGTATATAATGTAGAAGACCATAAAAAGCCTAAGTTTATTATTACTGAATCAACTTCTGGAACCTAGAATAAGCAAGAAGACAGAAGCTATCCAGTGCTTTTTTTAATTTTTATTTTATTTGAAATACTCACATCAAGTATTATTACCAAAGTTCTTTACAAACCCAGTAAAGACAAACAACCCATGCTTTTTAGCTAATTTGATGGGAGAAGCAGCCTCCCAGACCTCGCCTTAGAAGACATTCTGAATATAGGGAATGATGTAAATTTATTCTAGTTATACAACGCACAGCAGTTTCATTTAGGTAAGTCCTGTCAAGGATGTATTTCTAGGAGATACTCCAAGATGGACCAATATTAAAAACATGGAAAAGAATAGCTTTCAAAAAGTTATTCTAAGGAAGGTATATTCCTGAGATAATGCCATGCAGATGAACCTTACAATCCAATCTTAGTTCCATAAAAAAGAAAATTTTTAATTGCAAATGCTTCCTCCCATTCCCCATCACTTACCACTACCATTGCTATTGTAAAATTTGGCCTGAGTTGGTAATCACACCATGGACTTGAAGCTCCATAGCTGTCCTTATAAATTCCACGTTTGTGAACAAGATTTGGATGTTTCTCATTAGCATCAGCTGGATTCTCAGAAACAAAGAACAGTCTTTCAAAGTGTCCTTGAATTTTTCTGTTCCACTCATCATATGTGACAGTCTCCTCCTTTCCTGCAAGATGTTACATACAGGTTTTATTTTCTGAAAACAGCCACAGTGGTAATACCAGAAGTATGCTTATGTCTACTTAGTACGGTTTTGCTTATTGAAGTTTTAAATAAGATACTCCTAATACAATAAAGGCCATAATAGCATTGCAAACGGTTATTATCCAGAAGTTGAATTATATTGCAGATCAACTCCAACATATGCACAACTTTTTTTACACAACTGTTTCTAACTTGCAGTTCGCTAGGAGCAAACAGTATGAAGTACTGTGATCTATAGTAAATATTTAATTGAGTAAGTTTAAAATTTATAATTAACATTTCAGCATGGTAATGTCAGCTCTTTTATAGTACTTGGTATACATATACTTGCTGTTTTGGAGACTTCAAAAAGCATGTCAAATCATTAGGATAAGCGTCACTTTTAAAAGCTTTCTTTTCCTGAATTTAACACTTAACAGGAACAGACCTAGGATCACCTCTTTCCAGCTGGTGATTCCCCATGTTTAGGCTAATTCTACAGTTCACAGGAACAGCTCACTAAAATTTCAAGAGAGACTGAAAAAGATCAGGTTTCAATCAGCATATCTGTGCGAGGGATATCTTCCTGAATGAGATACATACATCCTAAATAAGCAACACTTTTATTGAAAAGCCAAAAATAGTAAATAACTGTACATTAGTTTTACATGAAGTGAGTACTGAAGTATTACCTATTTTTCTTAAACTACAACTGGAATATAGCAAAAAGCAAAATACTACTGAAATTGAAATATGGTATTGCCAGAAGAACAAAAAAACCTAGAAACTCTAACACTAAGCCTGTTCTTAAGAAACAAGGCATAGACCACAAATAGGAATTAAGGCTGGTTTTAAAACAGATTCAGCAGTAGATGAACGAAATTTAGACCCAGTTACATGAAATTAACAGCAGTAGGGAATACACACACATCAAACTGAATCTAAAAAAGTTATTTATGATTCTTGAACAAAAAAAAAAGATAAGTCCTATAAATATTATTTCTACATCTATGCATTATAACATTGCTGTGTACTGATTTCTTAATTGTCTTACTCTAGCCATATATTTTAAGAAATCCTGAAGTGACAGGTAAGTTCATGACCTAAGAATCTGTACTGTCTAGCATCGACAGGAAAAAAAAAAAAAAAACAAAACCACACCCCAAACACTTATATTCACATTTTCTAAAATAGAATAAAAGAATCATTAAATTAATTGTTTCCCTGTATTACCCTTTACTGAAGAGTAAAAAGGCTTTACAGGCCACCTATATTCAGTTGTGCTAGCTAAGCTCAAACTAAAGTAACTTTGTTACCAGGGCAGTTTCCCTCTGAAACATAAGTGACATCTAAAGATATTTCTGTAAATATTCACCACAAGCCACTTCCTGTGTTGTGAATATTGGAAAAAAAAAAAAGAAAAAAAGAAAAAAGAAGCACCATTTTACTTAACACTCTTGTAATGAATCATGTGTATCATCATAATACATAATAATCCTATCACTTATGTCCATTTTGAGAAATGGCATTTAGGCTCCAAGATTCCTTTTTAATCCACACCTTAATACACAGAGTAAAATATATGAAATGTTGACAAGACAATATGAACTCTTAATTTTTGGAGCAACAGAAGATTTTAATCATACAAGATACTTTCCCAAGTTTTTCCCCTTTTATCCCTAAGACTTCTTGAGTAGTTTGATAATCATCCTTGATATTATATGGCCACGATTTCATTGTTTTAGTAATGTTCATACTCTAGTAATATAATAAGATATGCCTGTTTTTACCATGTCTTTTTACAGTGACTCCACGGAATGGAAACACATTTTTCTCAGATAAATCCACCAACCAGCGAACAGCTGACTTGCACAAGCCAACAATTTCCACAGCAGAGCCATCTCTAAAATAACAACGAGAAAAAAAGCCCAATAATTACTTTAAGGAGGCTATTAAAGTTCAGTAAGTAATTGAAAAAAAAAATAATCTGCCAGTACCTTATTTAGACATTTTATTTTTCCTTATTCTCCTACTATTCCCCTGTTTCTCCTATATGAGCATCCCGAAGTTCTACAGTACTGTACTGTTTTGTGAATAACAGCTCCATCATCATCACTACTGTCATGATTTTCTAAACTTCAGTCATACCTCTCACTCATGTTCTCTTGAAAATGATGTGCCTTTAGGCAATCCAATCTCCACTTGCGAGGCAGCTACTCCATCCCTTTGAGTTTTAGCTGCCCTTCTTTGTATCACACCTTATTATGTCCTTGAGACCAGCACTACACATAATGCTCAAGATACAAGTGCATCTTGAAGGTGCAAGGCTTCACAAAGAAGCAGAACAATGACCTCTGTCTTGTTCTAAAAACCTGTACTGATGACACCCAGTATTACTATTTTTTATTAGCTTTTTTGGCTGCTGCTGTACACTAAGATATGATTCCAGAAAGCTACAATGACTCAGATTTCCTTCCTGTGTTGTAGCTCAGATCTCACAGCATTGTGTAGGCATGGTTTAGGCTATTTTTTCCCTAGATGCATATCTTAACTTTATCTACACTGAAGCTTATCTGCCACTTTTAGGCACACCCAGTCTTATATGGTACTTCTGAGTTTCATGAAGGGCCAAGAATAAAAGAAGAGAGTATTAGCGTAAGCAGACTGTGTCAATTTACTTTTATTTAAATGACTAGGATTCCACCTGATGAAGAAACAACAGAAGAAACTGTGAAGAACAGGTGAGGTTTTCTATTGGTGAACAGTCAGGGAACTAGCTTAGTAGTAAACTGGCTAACAGCTACATTTTTTTTCCGTAAAATAGATTGAAGTGTTATCATCATACTCAGCTAATTTGCACAGATTTAAAGTAATTTTATACCAGCGATTAAGAACATAAAAAAAAACGGATCAGCTCCAAGCAACTTGGTCCTCTTATGTTAAAACTGTGTTCAATACAAAGGTTCTTATCTGCACCTGCACTTTGGTAACTTAGGTAGTATTTCTGCTACAAGTCAGAAGTGAAGCATTAAAATAAGCACTAAATGCACTTCTTGGACTTGCTTCTTTTTTCAGGTGATATTCAGATATCACCATATGCATAAATTTCGTATTATATCATATTGATTTTTACTGCCTGTTTGATATAAAATTTTTCTCCAGCACCATCGATTTAGTCTCTTTAGGGCAAGTACCTCAACCTCTCCTGGTTCCCAGTTAAAACACCTGACTTGTCAAGCAAGAGATAATGTTTTCCTTCAGTTCTCACACACAGATGGCCATCAATTTGAAACTGATGCTGTACTAAACTCAAGCAAGGATGCCTGCAGCAGTTGGCTAGCACACAGTAAAGAGCTTATTTTTGAAATGCTTAATCTCAACTTTAAGAATGTAGATGTTGTAGATATTTTTAAATTCTAAATAAGCATTCCAAAAACATAACAATTATCAATTGATATCTCCTATAATAAGTCTAAATATCAAAGTATTTCTATTGCTGCAAGTATACAGTTTTTCCTAAGTTACATTTTACTACTTGAATTTAAATGCTGACTCTTGGCAGGGGGCTGAGACCATGCCAGAAGCTGAGAACTTCACCTGCTAAGAATATGCCTTTCTTATTTCAAATGAGCACAAACAAGGAAATTACCATTAATATTCTAGTAGGCAGAAATGTTTTGAACATTTGAGAGATCACCTCTCAGATGTGCTAATGGAAGACTTAGTAGCTCTGCAGAAGAATCTCAGTTAAAAAAAAAATTATTTTAAAATCCCCCCAAAAGCCTGAATTTTGTACCTTGGAGTGGCTGGAATTCCTTTGTTGCGAGCTGTGTCACTCTCTCCCATTTTATCCATCCAAGTGCCACAGTTGAAGCGGTTCCCTCCAAAGACAAAGCCAGTTTCACGGTCAACTCCTGCAGTTACAGTAAAGCCTGCCAAGCAAGAATATCATGTGTCAAGTCTGTATTTTAAACAAAACAAACAAACAAACAAAAAAAAACCTGCCTGCGCCCCCCCCCCCCCCCCCCCCCCCCCAGTTCAAGCCTCCAAACAAGAGATCTGAGTTGGGTTTCTGAAGGCAACTGTACTTTAAGTGAGCTTTTATTTAGAGATAACTTGTACCACAACATATAAACAGCTGCTGATAATAAACAATTAATTAGGCACTGTTTAAACATTAAATGTATTTGAAGTAATATGGTTTTAGTCGCATTAAACAATTTTTCAAAAATATAGTCAATAGCTAGAGGAAAAGAAATATAATTGTTATCTTTTGAATTGCATTGCAAGTGTCCTATATGTTACCTTCATCTCTCATGTTTTGATCTATCTGCGGACCAGCATTCCTTTCTCGGAAATGTATGCCTTCCATGTGTCGTTGCATTGCTTCCTGTATTACTTCATAAAGTGGCTGATCCTAGATTGATTGCATGTTTGGATGATATGTGAAAAGCAAGATGAAAAGCCGACAGAAAGGCTCTATCTAATGTGCAAATAGTAGCAATTCTTAGCCTCTAGTTTATAATACTTCAAAAGAAAAGCATCTAACATTTTCAGTACCACCTTTGTCAATGGGAATACATTTATTTTTAATATAAACATTTTTTCAAGACAAAAAGCAAAGGAAAAAAAGTTAGGAACCGATGATTTTTTTTTTTTCTCCATCCCCAACCTCCTGCACCTGTCTAATCATGAGATGCAGGTACAGTGAAAAGTGCCAGAAATATGGAATTCTTGTACTATAATCAAATTTCACCATAAGTAACAGATAGCAACAGGTTACTGTAGCTAAAAAAAAATTCCATCCTTTAATTAAAAATTTATATTTGTGTTAAATACTTAAACCAGAAATTATCTTTACCATAATGCCTGCAGGCTGAGGAGATGAGTCATCGCTTGGGTACATCCTAGAAACAGGACACCTGAGAATGTCTAACCCCTTTGGAACAATTTTACAGTAGTCCTGGATACACTGAAGCCACCACCATACAGCATCACGACAGTTGTATCTGGCATGTGTCCCCTGGCCAAGCAGATTGGGAATGAGACCATGTCTTAAAGTCCCACCAAATGCTAAAATGATGTTTCTAGAACAAAAGAAAAAATATAAGGTCTTGACTAAGTTACTTTCAAGGCCTTTATTGGACCAAGTATTAAGTACAAATCATACAAGTTTACCTTAATAGCAAGGTAAGTAAAGGAGACAAACAGGATCTTAAATACAGATGCCAAATGTTTGCTGTTGAAAGCTACAAATTACTTCATTTAGCATGAACTTCTTTTACATAAAAAAATCATCTATTCTCTACAGATTCCCCAACATGAATACACTTAAATCAGTTTGTACAAAACACACAACATCTGCTAATACTAGTTTGCTTTTTCATAGGTAATGATATAGAGCCTAAATCCAAATCCCACTGAGGTCACAGGGAAGGTTTTTATTGACATTGTTTATGATTACCCTGGTATCCATTCTGGTGAGTGGGGTGGAATGGGGACGGAGGGCAGGAGTAGATGGGAATTTCCTATTAAAATACAGAGAGGTGACAGCAACTGAGGTTATGAGAAGTATCATTTGAGAACCGTTGCGCATACCTTGCAGAAAATATGGATTCCAACTAGCTTTAAAAAGGGAATATAAACATTCTAGTAGACTGCAGGTCTTACTGCATGAGAAAGGTAATAGTTGGCCAAACATACAAAAGCACAAATACATGTTAATTTAAAACAATTCTTTATGTTTGTATCATGTGTGTATCATATCCACCCAAATTAAAAGATTAATGGAAATACCAAGTCAATAGGTCTATCTTATATCTGGCTCATTTGTCAGGTTAAACATTATAAACAGATATCAGACTGTAACAATCCACAATTATCTGATTTCTAGTATTAAAAAACAAACACTAGAAATTACCAAAAAAAAAATCATGATAAACATGCAATCATACCTTTCTGATTAAAATAGTATTCTCCTGCTACTTCAAACTTTTAAGTAAGTAATTTTGAAATTATTGCTCAGCAACAATGATGCAAGTACATGTGAAACACAATCACTTTGTTTAAGAACAAGCAGTAGTGTTACAGGGGTTAAAATTATCTCATCTGTGCAGAACATCAGCTCCACATCAGTGCCAACAAAGCAAAAGAGAATCATTTCAGTACTGTTTTTAATTCCACTTAGAGACAACTTCCAAATCTGTCTAGGGCCATTAAGGTTTTATATTGCACATCAACTGTTTCTAACAGCTTATGTGTCATCTGAGGCTCTGAGAGCATGCCTTTTTCCTAACTACCTGCAAAACCAGTAAGAACTAAGAATAAGTCAGTCTTACCTTGCTTCTACATAGCGCCCAGTAACTAACATTAGACCTCTCAGTGCAATAAAAGTATCCCTTCCCCAAGAGCGAAAAATTCCAGAAGAAAAGTGAGGTAAACCTAAAAGGAAATGTCATTGTTCATCTCATTAACAGATATGACAGAAATGTCCAAGCACATATGTATGTATAAAATAACCATAAGTAAATATATATTCACATTTATAATTTCTTCCTAGATCAACATTTAAATAATCTTCTATACCAAGTTCTTGATAAAATGAAATAAAATTTCATTTGATTAAAGTATTTTCTAGATTTTAAAGATCATGTAACAGAATTTCTCATATCAATAAGTCACATTTTTATTACATCACTTTGAAACTTAAGCAAATGCCATCCTGTAATTAAAAGAAGCAGAAAGAAAACTAACAAAAAGTCAGAACTACAACAAGATTTATAACTTTTTGTTGGCAAGAGTTCATGTAGGAGAACCATGCCATCTCAGCAGCATAAAGCGGATAAGACTGGAGAGCTATCAATTTCTTCAGCGCAAAGTTGTTCCCAGCCACTATAAAAGGAATCGTGCTTCTCTTTTCCAGCAGATTCTAGAACTACATCTTACTGGAGACATTTTAACATGTAACTTTAAGATTTATTCCGACTGATAAAGCATAATAGTTACAACTGTAAGGCTCATCCTTGTCTTTTCTTCCATTTATTAACTTTTTCAATCAAACAAAAAATTCCATATGGTGAAGTTTCAAAAGAGCAGTCCCTTGTGCATGCTTGATAGAACAACATTTTAGCTTCTATCACTTACTTTTCTGAAGTATTTCCTAACGCTCAAATATGGCCACTACACTTCCACAATTTTACAGTATATGGTAATAGCACTTGCAAATGACAATCCATATACAAGTTAAAAATCTCAGACACAACTACCAGTAAGTATGTGAAGGGAATATTTAAAACCAAACTGTTTAGTATAATTAATCTTTACGACCAATTTAAGGGAACATTGTGCCTCTGTGCTTCTAGGTAACACTAAAGCAGGCAAATGGAATGTTACTAAAAACCAGAAACTAAAAGCAGTAAGATTCCATGAGAGGCAGACAGACAGCAAAAAGAAGAAGAAAATAAACACCCCAGTGAGACACTTGTCCTGGACTCTAGGAGTTTCTATGGTTTCAGAAAAGGAATGGGCCAACTCAGAACAAAAATAAATTCGTTCTAAAGGCACTACACACAGAAGATAATACTTTTGACATAGCAAAGTGCCCAATTCAAAGTCTGCCAGATGCTGGCAGAACATACGGAGGTATAAACACTATTTGTCGATTGCTTTTATGCTCTTTCCTTTTGGAGACGCTTTCAGATCAGACCTTCTGGTCTGCTAATGGTTCTTTCTTTTTCTGAGAACTTGTGAACAGTAAATTTACCCTTGTATCCCATTACAATTCAGTTCTTAAATTTGCAGTTAAAAAAGAAACAAAAATCTATTAAGCTAAGTATACTTACTTCAACAAAGTGTTCTAGAAAGGAAAATATACTTGTGGATCTCCATATATGATAAAACTAAGAATATCTCTAAATAAAGTGTTTATAAGCTTCCCTTCCCATCCCAAGAGCAGTAACAAAATGGTTGTCCCCAAGAAGTAATGCTAGAAAAAACTCCCATACTTCTAATATGGGCAAATCTTTATCTTAAACACAAATTAAAACACAGGGAAAAAGCGAGGAAAACTGCTACCCACACTTCATACATGGTTGCTGACATATGGATCCCAAGCACAATGAAGACAATTTTATTATAGTTCCTAAAAACAGTTTAGCTATTTTAGATGACTCTTTTTTTAAAATGTTGTCCTCACTTACCCGCTGCCAAGGAAACACAGCACTGTTCTTTCTCATTTGTGATCTCATTCAGCCTATAGGGAACATCATGTAAGGAAGGAGACAGATCTGGCAGACAAGGATATCTTCCTATCCCACACATCTGGACTGAACCCAAGGAAAGGTGTTTAACAAATGTCGATCCATTCTGCACGAAGCTATAATTCAACATAATTAAAGTAAAATTACATTCTGCAATATCAGTCTATAAAATGTAGCCTTTTTTAATTTACAGAAGACTATTATAAGTATTATGCAAAATAAATATAATTAATTAACAATGAGTTAATATTAGGATTCTACATTAGCTAATTTTGGACATAAGATTTAATTTGTACATCACTTTTTTCCCCAAAATGGGTGCCCAACATTAGCCTTAAAAATTTATTCATGTCAAGGCGAGTGTTTATGTGAAATACTTCTAGGGAAAAGGGTAAAAAGAAATTGATTTGCTTTACTGATGCTTAAAAAACAGACTTAAGACCTCAAAAAATATGAGAAAAGATATTTTACTATGAACAAAAGTTTCTGTCAAACTGTAAATCATTAAGTCAGTTAACACATTGTCTAAAATAAAGCGACCTGCATTCCTGTCTAGTTTATCTCCAAACATTTTTTCATAATGGGTTACTTTGCACATGATTTCATGGCCATACCAAATTCTATTCCCATTTTACCATCTGTATTTTTACAAAACAATACTGATTTGTTTAGAATGTTCATAGCTAGAATAAAGCCTCCATTAAGTCAATCTCTCTTCCCTTTCCAAGAAACAAAGGAGAAAGAGACACTGATGTTTAAACAGTTATTTGAAGAACTAAGCAAAGTGCTAATGAAAGATATTTAACTTTGTTAAAGAAGAAATGTTGAACAAAGCATCAGCCTCAAGTACAATCTGGTATTTTCTTTCTTCCCTGAATGTTAAGGAATCATTGCAATCGTACTAAAATACAAAAAAGGCAAAAAAAAGTTTCTGAAGCCTGGCAAAGAAATGTTGGCTTAAGCTTTCACCTCCTACTGCACAATGCCAACAGCAGTTATAAATTCAAACCCTAGAAATACAGCTGAATGCCCAACCTTCCAAACCACCACCATTAGAAGACAGATTTGATATTCACTACCAATTTTACCTTTTTACATTGGAGGAGTATGAAAACACTCAAATCACATTCTCCAGCAGATAAAACTTAAAAGGTACAAATATATACAGCTACCTCTATAGTTCTGATATGGGAAGCATACCTAGACATCTGATGCCATCCCACATCCAGAAGCGTTGTGTATGCACCCACTAATATGGCATCAAAGTAACATGGGATGAGGTAACGTGGAATTCTCTTCAGGTAGACAAACATGGCCTTCATCCATTTACCAACCTATTAAAATACAATCTAATTAGAACTTGTTAACACTAGGTTTCAAAACCCAGTGTTTTCAGGATCCATCTAGTTAAAGTATTTGACACAGTTTTGGTACATTTATTACACCCAAGTTATGCGTGACCACCACGAAGATGAGGTTATCTTCAGTTATTAGTAACACCACTTGCATGCAACCATTCACATCTAAAGCTGTTCATGCTAGATATTTGTAGTAGAATTGCTGTACCCTCCTACTGCAAAATTTCAGCTATGAGATGAACTCTAAGAAAAGTAGTAGGGAAAAATCTGTACTATATCTGTACTATGACATAAATAGGCAAGAATATCAACTATATAAAGAGATTATATTTTGCTAGTCTTATAGAAAACAAACAATCACAAAGAAGTTATTAAAACTGAGTAGCAAAGGAAAGATGCAACTCGGAAGGCATCAATACACCCCAAGTGTGGGGAGAAGGTATCTCATTCCTTAAAAAAAGACAGGACTGAAGAGATGAAGCTTGGGACTAGGGATAGAAACATTATAAGAATGCTAAATTATATAAAGCCACTAGTGAAAGTGACTGCAGATCTGGGTCTAGGACTCAGGATTCTGGAGCTTCACCATCCTTAAGTCACTATAAAATGTTTGACACCTGGGAAGTATATTTCTCCTCTTTCCTTCTTGTACTGTTAAAGAATATCATGCCAACCTACTATTAGGTCACTAAAGATCTAAAGCTTGCAGATGAAGAAAGTACATGTCGATATATTACATGACACTACACTTTTAACCTGGAAATTACAAAGAGAAAGTTAACCTATATGAACAGTGAAGTTGTAAAGTTTAGTTTCATGTGACTTCAGTATAGCTATAAGTCCTTTGTATTTTCTGCATAATACAATGAGACACTATAAATTAGCAACTCAAAAAAATACATAGACAAAGTAAGCAACAGGCTTTGAAGACCAGTAAATCTGGCAATTACCAGACTAACTTCCTTTCCAGAAAAGCTCCGTCTCAGAGGTCAGATTCAGCGTTTACTTCAGTACAACATTAGACTGCTTTATATCACTACAATTGACTTCAGGAACAAAATTAAATAAGAATGCTAAATTCTTTATTATTATATTAATTATGTAAGTTATCCAAATCAGGTCTCCATCTTGTGAAATGAATAAAGCAATTCCCACGTAGGAAAATAGAATATAAACAAAGAAAGTAAAGGACTGTATTGTAATGCAGCTATACAGGTAACCTGCATCTTAGTAATTCCTATCTTCTCAGTGCTTGACTCTGAAACCTTAGTGTAACTGTACCATAACTGTAACTGTATGCCTTTGTAGTATTCAGACCCTCTTTTCAAAGTACTTACTTCAAAATGGTTACTTCATTTTTATTTGAAGAAAAGTAATAAACAGGGAAGGACCCCTGCAGGCCTTTATGTAAGAACTAACAAACCCTCCATGCCCTACATATTTTCCACTTCCCTTCTGCAGTCTATTCTTAAATAGGATTGAGGAGAGGGAAGATAAACATATTAACAGTTTAATCTCCTAGAAAAAATTGCTTAGACAAGAAATATGTTATAGACAGACTGAATTTGAAAGTATACTGGTAATTGAAAAGGAAACAAACTTGTAATTTAAAACCCCGAAGTCAAAGTTAAGTATTTTTACTTACTTCTGCACAGGCTCCTGCACGTGAAATCAGACGATTACTAACATAATCAATCATCCAGTCTCCAGATCTTAAATTATCACAAAATGGATGACCCAAATCATTCTTTGGTCTAATGTCTGCCATCACTGACATTAACCCTGAAAATACAAACCCCAACTTTGTATTAAAAGACACCATTATCACAAACAGCAATTACAGTTCAGGAGAAAAAAGTACATGGCAACAGATGCTTTAACTGGATTTAATCGTATTACTTCTCTTGATCTGCAGAACAAGTTAGGATACAACTCAACTGTAGTTTCCTCAGCGCACATCCTAGACAGTTATGCAAATAATTGTGGAGTGACCAGCATGATGCAATTCATACATTTGATAAATGATCAACACTCCGCAGTAACCTAGTAATGCCTAGGGTTTAATTTATGTGACTTTTCAATGGAGATACATGTATTTAATTTTAAAAGCAAGGCCACTGGTGTTAAAACACATATTGAATCTTAATTTTGCAGCCCAGAGTATCGAGAGAGGGGGTTTCTGGTTTAGTGTGCAATTTCCTGGGTACAACGCTCATTAGTAGCATGGTCAAGCAGAAAAAACTAACTTTTTTATCCAAACAATGGCACTAGCCATAAGACAGCATCAAGGTGTGATGTAGATTGCGCAGTTCTATTTTACTTTTTTCTTAACAGAAAAAAAGAATGCTGAAACTATTACCTTGGAGACCTGCATACTTCAGTGATGACCAGTTTGGTATGTTGTAACAACCTCCACCATCTTCTTGTTCTTCTGCTTCACACCTATACAGTACTTGATTTAAGTCAGCCAAAGTTAGTTTAGATGCAATACTGAAAAAACAGTGGGGAAAAAGAAGAAATCCAACCCCAAAAGCAACATTAGTAGGGAAATAGAGAAAGGATTTCATAAACAATTCTAGTTTCAAACTTACATTAAATAATCAAATATATATAACTCTCTCACCACTTAATCTTTATTTCCAAAAGCCTGATTTTTCAGATGTTCCAAGATGTTCTGCTCAGATGTTTTGGTATTTATTTAGAAACACAGTATTAAGTGCAAACCCTGAACAATCATACCCCAACACTGACAAGCACTCCATATGACTATTTTAAGCAGCAACTACACAGAACATGAACAAAAGAGCTGCAAAGTTTTAAAATATTAACCCTGCTAAGTATTATATATATGTAAAAATAATCTCAGAGTCTGTATTGCACTCTGACAATCCAAATCCAACTGTAGTAATAAAAAAAAAAAAAGAAAACAAATCCTCACTTTAAGTTTACAGACTGTTCTTCGCTCCCACTGTAGCACTCTCAGTTCTACTTCAGAAACTTAAAGAATACTCACGAAGAAAATAACGTTTTTAATATAGGTGCTGAATGATCATCAGGAAGACTTCCAGATTTAAAATGAGGGCTGAACTGGATCAAATGATTGCGGAGTACACCAACAGCCTCTTGTGCCTTTGGGTCAAGACTAACTCTGTAAATATGAATGCATGACTTGTAGAAATGTAGCACTTAAAATAACTATTCTGAAGCCTCAAAAATAGAATGATACAAATCTTTGTTTAACTAACACAGCCATTTGGCAATTATAATAACGTACCTGAATACTATTACACTTCCTGGCGTTAATTTTTCAAATTCTATTTCTTGAACAAATTCGTTTGGCCCTTTTATGGCAGTTCCAGCTTGCTTTATAATTTTACTGTCTTTAATCTTAGAAAAGAAAACACATTTGCAACTGAAATTCAATGTCTTTTTTTCTAATAAAAAAATGTCACAAATTACAAAATATTACATCAGAACATGGGTGAAGGAGGCTAATTACCTGGATATGCTCTCTGAGTTCCATTGTGAAATTAGGCAATCCATTTATAAAATGTTCATCTTTTTTGTAAGGACTAGTACTTCTCTCAATAGTCCTAGCCTCAAGTACTACTTCTTCTATTTTTCCTAAGAAAAGATAAATCATGTAGCTGTTAAGATATTTCAAGTGAAAAGTGATTCTTTTGAAGAAATGAAGCAAAACCTAACCTAGAAACCTAAATATTCAAAATACAAGTCTCTTGCCCAGCTGAAGAACAACCTAATGTGACTAACCATATAGCGAAGTGTTTTAAATATCCTATAAATATTCATTACACATTCATTTGCTGTACTGTATTTAACACTGCAATTTTATTATTTTATCATAAATTAACCATAAAAATCAGTCAACATTTAGTGAATTACAACCTATGTTTTATTGATTACAAGTTGTGTTAGTTTCCTTTTATCTTTTAGAAGACTGTATCAGATTGGTTTCCAAACTGCAGCTACGCATGGTTTATCTTCAAAATGTAACAACTAATTATTAAAATATTCTAAATTTATCTATCCTTGTGGCAATCTAAAAACAAAGGTATGCAAGCCTTGCAGCCACCTGTAAGTATCTTAACATATGATGTAGTTGACTTGAAAACAAACACACACATAAGCATACTTAAAAAGCCAGTTCGGAAAGCTTCTCTTCAGACATATGTCCACATAATGTGTGGAAATCATTATACTTTGTTACTATTAAGTATAGTAAATACTTTCATATTTAATTAATTTTATGTATTTTTTACCTATATATTATCTTTATATTAACTTATGCAATACAAAGTTGTTTCTTATTAAGATGTGTTTTAAAACTACAAAAATAATGGTATATAAGAAAGCTGAATAGCAATGACATCAACAAATACGATGAGATTTTAGCCTTTTCCCCCAGTATTACACAATAAATTGTAATTTCCCCCCAACTCTGTACAATTAACCCTCTTGCTATTAACTATTTCTTACCAGTTCACAAACAAGACAGTAAACAAAACCACACCCACATGGGAAGCTTATAGCAGGAAGTATGCTCAATATGAATGCCTCTGAAAACCTTAAGCAAGTTAAGTTTGTTATTCTTTAACCACTTTTGGTGCATGCACATTAGCACATATAAGAGGAGTGTTATATACTGAAAATTCTCATATTAATTTCAGGTGTTTCAAGTGAAAACAAATGGAATTACAATAACTTGAATTTTTTGTACACCTGCCATCTCTTGAAAAGAAATCTGATTACCTGGGATACACATTTCAGGTACTTCTTTACTGTAGAAGGAGGTTTTAGGATCCCTGAAGGCAGTTCGACTTACAGCCACAACAGATTGGTGTGTGTTAGGGCAGTGTCTTGTCACTGCCACTATATCTTCATCAACTTGATCTACATAGACCTAGAAAAGACATACTATTGCAACTGTGTTCACTCCAAACATAAATATGGAGAAATTGTAGTGTTACCCTCACTTCTTGCCTGATTAAAGCCTTTAGCCCCTAGCTCCTGATGCAGCCTGTTTATGGCGAGCCTTCCTGCTAGAATTCCTGTTTGGAAATTAACTTCACCAGAACTCAGATGTGCTGCTGGATTCCATTTTGCATAAAATCTCTCTTCAGATACTACAGAGATCTGTAAAGAAATTAAGATTTAAGCAAATATCAGCTACTATGCAAAAAAACCACAAAACAAAACAGCTGGAGGTCTCAACTATATAGTCAATTCAAATTTCATATGAAATTGGACAATCCAAAGTAATATCAGCTAGTAAGCTGCTTGGAATTTCAACAAAGCAATATTAAAATATATGTCCTAGGACAAGAATGAAGTTTAAATTTTTAAAAGTAACATAGAAGTTAAACTGTACACACATACCTGGTGTGGTACTAGTTCATCATAGCCTTTGGTGCTTCCTGTAGCGCAGCATGCCATGGAAACAATCATTGCACTGGGAAGAGCATCATATGCAGATCGGTGCTATGTTAAAAAATACATAAGGAAACAAAGACATAATTAATTCTTTCCAATTCAGCACACAGAAGATACACTCAGTTTAACAGACCTGCTCATCACATAACCATAATTTCCTCAATCACAATAGAATTAACGAAAAAAAAAACAACTACAAAAGCACTAAGAAAAGCAACTTAAGAGAAATCCTCAAAAATTAGCATTCCTAGTTTCCACCACACTCTCCCTCTCCTGTAGAACAGGAGCTTAGGGGAACAGGTTAACAAGCAGAGACAGAATTATAGTAGCTGGAATTAAAGAATCAAACCAGCTTGTTAAGTAGCTTTATATTCTTTTTCCCTTGAAAGACAAAACCTTGGACATCAGAGTTGTTATAAAATTTTACTCTCTGCATGCAAACTTGAAGATCTGAAACATACTTTAGGATCCTAAACACTGCTCAGGTAAAACATCCAGATTGCAGCAAGCCCTCCCATGGTTCAGAAATAATAAATTCAGAAAACATTACATGTAAAGTTTGGGTTTCAGTTTAGGTGCTCACCTGAATTGGACATTCATTATCATGGGTAATATCCATAAACAATGCATGAGCAATAGCTGGCATCAAAGGCCTCAAACGTGGCTGAACAAAAGAGCCAACAGGTTCACCTCCAAAGCGATAAACTAACCTTCCCTCTTCATGGCTATTATAAGCAGTCATTGCCTCTAAAGAAGAAAATGGGTAAGTGTTTGCACAAGAGTAACTACCATAGATTACAGGACGCACAAAGATGTTAATGCAGCATTTTGCATTTTGGTTATTTTGGTGTGTTCAATCATTAAAAATTAAAAAAAAAAATTAAAAAAAAAAAAAATCACACATAACTATATACTCCACTTTGGATACACAACCTTGGAGTATTCCATTTACTGTAATATATTAAAGCAGAGAAAGCTCAGGGAAAAAAAGGGAGAAAAAAGAAGAAATCTGAAACTGTTTCTCATAGGCTTTAAGAAACTCATGCAACAAATATAGACACAACGCAGCACTTGCATAGCGGACCTGTGCTACGACTTTTTTCTCTTGCTAGAAGAGCAGTGAAATATTTAAACTTCTGTAAACTAATGCAGGATGCCTTCTCTTATTTTACAGCTGTCACAATACAGGAACTGTACTTCTGATTACACAGAGTATGAAATTAAAAGTGCATAGTCCAGAAGAAACCTTTTCCTTCAAAAAAGTATATCATCTATAATCTCTCGTTGGAAAGAGACCACACACACAGCAAGCCTACCTCTTATTAAGGAGGTAATGCCCAGCCTATTCACAAAGATATTGTCCAGCTCCTCATTTCCTGTGAACAGTTCAGCCACTACATACAAATCGGCTCGCACTTTTCTAGCTGTGTCCAGCATGTACTGCAAAAAGCACAGCCAAAAAAGCCACAGAAAGGGGAAAGGTAGATACAAAAAAGGACAAGTTTCAAAGCTAGGCAGGGATTGGACAATAGGAAAATGCCATGCAGCAAAGATAAACAGAAAGCCAAAATTAAGGAACAAAGAAGTTGTTACATAGAAGAGGGCACATGAACATAAGCAAAACCAAGAATTAGCATACAACACAGGAGAAGTTAAATAGAACATGAAGAAGAAAAGGTAATTGCATAAGCAAAGAACGTGAATATGTAAGAAAAATAAAAAAAGCATACCAATGTTAGTTTCACGTTAAAAACTCCAAACCATACACAACAATCCTACATAATTTTCAACTGCTTATTGTACCTCTAATCAGGCTGGTAATTCCCAGGCGGTTGACAAAAACATTGTCAATGTACTCACTGCCCGTGAAGAGTTCAGCTATCACATAAAGATCAGGTCTGACTGATCTGGCTGTTGCTAGCATCTCCTATAGATCACAATACATTTTTAATGCAAGATATCCATTGTCAGCTATGTATATGCAATCATTAACATGAATGTTAACCAAACATAAATGAGTCATTTATATATGTGGTTCATTAGAAATATTAATAACAGGTAAGATTCATAAAACTGTTTATTTTACAGGTATTATTTATGGACTGAGTAATTCTAGGAAATTCTCTGAAGACTTTAAGCTAGTTACAACTTTCTTCATAAAAAAAATCTTTACTAAAAATGCAAGAACAAGGATTGAATAAAAGAGATACTTATTAAGCTAATAAATCTGAGGAAGACTTCAGTTTAAGCCTTCAAAATTATCATTCCAAAAATAGTAGCAAAAATGAAAGAACGGCAGAAGTTTTGAAATGGCTGCATTTAAGAGTCACTTGCAACTTTTGTGTGGGCAAATCAACTTGTTTTAGGGAGCTCTTCATAGATTTACCTAGGCTCTGTTAAGACTAAGCACTAACAAGCTGCACTACTCAAATCTATTTAGAACTAATTTACTAGATACGTACAATTTTGGAAATAGCCAGATCCATGGTAAAAGATAAGCACTAATCTTAGCAATAAGCCTGCCAGACTAAACTTTCTGCAGGTATTCTTTAACAACTTTTAAATTCTGGGAAGTACACCACTTCCTGTTTATTTTGGCAATAGAACAATACATATGGCAAAGAAACACTAAGACTTTCAACTAAGTCTTGGCAGAGACCCCAGCTAAAACTGACATACCGGACACTGGTAGTCATTGCACTACATCCAGAGCTACGTGAGGGAAAAGTTAGCCAGGTCCATCCGCATCTACAATATTTCAGCTGAAGTAGAGAATTAAGAGATACAATAGCTACACCACTATACTAACTGTTTCAAGCAGCTGAAACCATATCTAAACATCACCAGTGAAGAAACTCTGCTTGTGCTATGAGGAAGATTCATTCACACTTGAACTCTGCCATGTAGAACCCACAGATTTTGTAGCATTGGTGCAGGATTTATTCCACAGACAGAAGCTGCTTTATAATAAGCATGTTTAATTTTGCGTACCTCAGCTACATGAATAGGTGTTGAATGACAGTTGTCAAGACGAACACCATGGAAATACTTGGCAGTGATTTCAGTGTATTTTTTCATGTGTGCCCAGAGGTATGGACAGTCTTCAGGTTTATTACCATAACGCAGTTTCACACTGTCTCCCCAGCAAATAAGCTCTCTTCTCAAGTAAACATTTGACCCTGTAAGAGAAATAAATTCACTATAGTGTACATATACAGAATAGAATGTGCACCAAAATGAAAATGTGGTATTTCATATTCTACTGATGAAGAGTAGAACACTGTGATCAAGACTAAAAATTCTAACAATAACCATGTCAACTCAAAATTTGTATACCCAACATTGATATGTAATTCCAGACTACTTCAAAGGAAACATTTAACTTTCATAGAGATACTGAAATAATTCTTCAGATTAAAATCAAATTCCTTTTCATTCTTCAAAATAGTATAAAAACTGTACTTAAGAAAAAAAAGAAGAAAAAAGCAGCAAACAAATTAACAAAATCAGTGGTTTGGCTGTTTATACTGGCCAAATTCAAAAAAACACCTCAGTGTGTTACCATAAACAAACTGCCCCAGCCACAATTTAAAATGTTATCATCTGTTAATAGCAGACTGTGATGCTGCAAGACAAATTTCCACAATAGTTAGGCAGGTAGGTCACTTAAATGGACAAAGTCCCTAAATAATTTTTGTGTGTATGAAAAGACTTATCCTCCATCTAGTCCAGTTTCATATACTTTTTTTTTGCATTTTTTTTGACTGCATCAAAAAGAAGATTTAAATTTGAGTTCACCTGTAATATACTTACTGCATGGAATATACTGACAGAGCTTTAACAGTGACAAAGAATTAAATAATCAGTCATATCTAAAATAAGTGACTTCTCCCCTATATAAATCCTGTATTTGACAATGGCAGTAACATAATTAAAAAAAACCCCAAACAAGTCCACCAAAACCCCAGACTATTTGCAACGTGTAATATCCCAGGCACAATCACGGAATTGTCAATAATCAGAGCCCATGTAAGAGAAATACAACTATCTTTGAGTCATCAGTCTTCTGAAGGTCTGTTTATATTCACCTTATGTAAACCTGATCAAAGCATAAAGCAGGCCAGCACCACTCAGGATGGGCAAGAAATAGCTACTCCATTGCTTTCTGTGACTCTACACCAGCTACACTGATGCATCACCACAGTTATTTTAGGGGTTAAACCTTTAATTAGATCATGAAACTTGTTCAGCTGAAAAATAATCTTGCCTTAGCAAAGAGATTATTTTTCCACCAGACCAATTTCCAAAGGCTTGCATTATGGACACCTAAGTGATTGGGCATACACAAAGAAAGACACATAACAACAGTGTGCAGGTAGTAAGTAAAGAGCAAAGATCGTAATTCACCACTGCTTCCAAAAACATTCACTTAAGCACAGCCCACCTTTTGCCTTCACTAATGGCAACGTAAGTACATGAATGGAAAAATCTGCTTTCTTTTGATGTATACCACGGGTTTTTTAAGGGCCATTTACAGAACTGGCTGCATTTGTTTTGCAATTGCTTTATTTGTGCCCTTATATATAATCTTCTCACACTGTATTCTTAGTTGAAATAATGTGTGGCATAAACCAAAGGTATAACACAAGTATAAAGCACCCAAAAAGCTGTAGATGAATTAGGAGAGAAAACTCAGTAATGGAAGTTAGGTATGCTAATTCAAGTCCATGATTGAAGGAAAAAGTACAGGAGTCTGCCCAAAAGAACATGCAAGTAGCTGAAAGGCAATGGAACAAAAACACCCTTGAAACATGTTATCTTAATCCTTGCGAGGAAGAAAAAAAGAAGTAAATAAAAAGCAGTGAAAGGGCTGTAGATTATTTTGCAGCAATTAGGTGTATGCTAATTCCAGATCACTCTGGAGTATCAATCAGATTACCTTGTAAAACAGACTCAACAAACTCTTAGATAGATGTTTTTAATTAGACTTAAACTGGCCTTTGGTTTGATTCAGTTTACAGAGTAAATGACTACACTGAAAACAAGAGTTGTCAACCTTGCTTTTATTGGATATTGATGCTGTGAGTGCATGGTGATTTCATGCCCTATCTTACCTTCACAAGTAATCTGCATACTTAATTTGCATTAACTGAGTCATCTCTTGACTGCCTGACTGCCACTCACTGGATCTTTCACAGATCCAGTTTTTGCTCACTAATGCAGTAAAACACTATCCACCTTTTCATTGCATTAGTTTTCTGCCACACTGTCATTGTCTTATGGAAACGCCAGCAAGCAGTGGTGTTGGAACAAAGTACAAAGTAAGCAACAAAGACAATGACAAAAGTAGGGAGGCAGGATATCCCCATTTCAGTGGCAGAAAGCTGGTAATTTCCCTCTCAAATCTTGCAAACGTGTACCTCAAATCCCAGTTCTTACAGTTGATCTGTATGCTGAATGGGAAATAAAGTGCTATAAACTGAGTATCTGCTATTCTGCAGCTTCATAGAAATGCATCTGGAAAAAAGACAGATTAAATAAAATCCTTTTTGCTTTGGCTAGAAAACCAAAAGGTTTATAAGGTGATTCAAAGTTCTTTTGCAAACCTGGTTCTGCAAAGTTTCTAAGAGGATCATCTCCCATAACCCAGCCATTATGAGCCATGAAATAACAAGCTTTATCTGGCTGATGTATCATAGTTTCTTCTTCCTCCACAGTCAGCTCTTTGAATGGATAAGTAAAATACCTATAGAATAGACAGACAATAAAAAAAAAAAAAACACCAATAAAAACCACAGAAGATAACCTAAACTGAAATTTGTTGTCTTTAAAATTAAAATATCTGCTATGAACTAGCTTGTAGATAAAACAGATAAAAAATAAAGCAGCTCCTAGACTATAAATGATGGGGAGTTTTCTATTTTGATAGCATGCCTTGAAGGAGAAAGGACAGGTGGTGCTGCTATCTTGGTGTTAGCTGGAAATGTAATATTTTTCCTAGCTCTTCAGATACATGAGTGGCATGAAGTATATCAAACCTGAAAGGTATAAGCTTTCCTAGTTCCACTCTTCATCCACCTACATGAGGAATTTGCTCTATGTAAGGCTTCGATGTGCTCTAAGTACTGTTTCATGTGTGATCATATTTGTTTATTAAGTAGTTATCACTGTTGCTTAAAACGGACAGTTGATTCATTAAGTGGCATTTGTCCATGGAAAAGAAAACATAATTTGCACATGTAAAGATATACTTTCAACGAACTTTGAACTCGCTTTCCCTGGATAGACTCTAACAGTTTCCAAACAAACAAATACGTATATACCTGGTAACTAACGGATATTTTCTACTGACAGGACCCAGCTTAGGACCATCACCAGCCAGTCGCTCATAAACCACGGTCCCCACAAGACAATTGACAGCCTAGAAGTAATTGAATTATGCATTACTGAAATGCCTGAATTTATTTGCAATTTAAAACAATTCAACATTAAAACATAGTATTTATAAAGACCTGCTCTTGATGGTGATTAGTCTGTCTGTACTGTTCAGCATTCAGTTCCTCAATCCTCTTGCGAAACCAGTTACAACATTCTTCTATTGCAGCTGGTCCATTGCTTATCAGGAGGACATTAAAAGCAGAGAACAATTAGAATAATTCATTTTTAAAACATGCAGTATACATACCTAAAATGAACGAAAAAATAATTTTTTCCCCATCTCCACAAATATTTTAATTTATTTGTTTTTGCAAATTTAACTTCACTTGTAGTTTTAAATTGTAATCAATAATACCTGTGTGGTATGAACGTTGCCAACGCTATATTCATATCTACAGTACAGCCAAATCGTCTATAATCAGGGTCCTGAACTATCTGAAGATGTTGATTCGGATCAGATTTAGTGCTTATTTTGCCTAAGAACAAGATATAAAAGAATATTCATAAAGTAAAAATAGCAATTACACGTACAAGACATACAACTTTTATAATTCTAGCATAAGCAAGATAAGGGTAGATAAAGGCTTTGAAGGGGTGCAAAGCCTTCAAAGGCTTTCCTAGCCTGCAAAGCCTTCTTGTATGCTTAAAATCAGTATAAATTTCTCACACAGCAAAATGTGATGGGATTATTTTGTTTTCCAGCTTACTGTTAAATTTACCTATAAGTTTCTTGAACTATAAGTATATAATCCACATGCTTCAGGAACATACTCTTCCTTTACCTTGAACTAGAAGGCTTTTAAATTGTTGCACAGCTTTGTTAACATCCACTTGAAAAAATTCCCATAGTTTAAGTTTTGGATACACATCTTCCCGAATTATTTTACGGATACACTGTAAAAATAAAAATTATGTTAGTTCAAAATGTTGATGATTAATATAATTAAGAAGAGTTAAGTAATCGTATGAATTGTTCAGAAAAAAATATTGGGGAGTAAAGGGTTATTTCATTAAATATATCTGCAAAGTATACACCGTTTTTTGTGCATTCTCACAACCTTAGAAATATTAAAGGTTTATTGAGCTATTTATAATGTTCATTAGCTTATGTCTCATTCACTTACATTCAGGTGATGATCATTTTCAATCAAGGGAGGGACCCCTTTAGCAACATACTTTCCATCAGCCACCATACAGGTCAAGTGCCACAGAGCTCTATCCAAGACCCAAGCTGGCTTCAGGTGAGGAGAATTTACAAGATTATAGCCACATTCTGGATGCATCCTGAGCCATTCACTGTTAGTAGCTTATTCAAGAAAGGGAGGGGAAAAAAAAAAGTAAGTACACAAGATGAACACTTAGTTGTTTTGTGCAAACATCCTAACACCAAGTTAAGGTACTATGGCACGTATAGTTAGTTGACATTTCAACTGAAGTTTTCCATGCCAGCAGAAAATCATGTCCTATGCAGAGGTGTGCATTACTGCTACCTATTTGTTTTGCAACAAACACAGCTGCAGAGACTGCAGAGAAACTTTTTGTTATTAGTTACATAAAAATATGCAATAGTACCACCAATACTAAAACACTAAAAGAAAAAAATCACATTTCTGTTGCACAAAATATATCAAGTAATGGACATGAAATGCTTTTTGTGTGTTGAAAGCCAAGCATACATCCCAAACCACATTCTAAAATGGCTGAAGTTGTTTATTGTTCAATATTCTTAACTCTATCAGATGTTACACACAGACAGAGAGCAAGAGTGTACACACCTCGCCCAGGAAAAAAATGATGAAAAACATAGTTAAATGGGCTTTTAAGAAAGGATTAGTTGTGACACCATTGTGCACAGCATAAAAAGCAGAGTGGTGGGAAGCAATGCCACCAAGTCTTACACAGGAAGATAAGTGCACTGTCTGGTGCATGCAAATGGAACACTAGCTCGGGTCAAACACTACACTCTGCTCTATCTATTTTCTAAACTTCCCCTGTAGCACCAACAAGCACAAGATATGCTGAACATTAAGAACTAACTTAGGAAAAGTTCACTAGAAAATGGGTCTAATACCGGAATAGACACAGTGGTGTGCATGCTGCAGTATGAATAAATATACATAACAGAGATAATTTTGATTTTGGAAGCATGACAATGAAGAAAAAGTCCTCAAGAATGAATTTCTGTCTGTTTTGGAAACTGTCCTAAAGGCTGTTTAACCAAAAATAATTAGCATATATTCTTTCAAATTAATCTCTACAATTGAAAAAACACATGTAAAAAAAAAAAAAAAAAAAAGGAATGCTTAAGAATAAAAAATACTCATGTTTTACAAAGTTTTTTTAAAAATCATTTCTTATTAATGTCCTCTTAAAACATGTTTTATTAATTCATTGTTTGAGAAAATCAGAGAAAAATAGTAGTAGTACATCACACAAGGGAAAATATGTAACATTATTATTTTGGAAACATGAAGATCCATTAACATGTCCAAAATTATAGCAGAACAATTGACACCTTAAAGCCAAGTTTGCTTCATTCAAAGAAGTTCAAACAGAAATGTCCAAGGGAAAGAAAAGCATGTACTCTCCGTCTATAGTATGGACAGCTCTTCTGAACATCCTTTTGCATTATATCTCAAGACTATTATGTTCATGGCAAAATTCCATGTTTATAAGGTTAAGCCATGTGGGGAAATTAAGATCTTCATGGTTTAAATGCCACGTACAACTAACCATAGTTATTTTGAAGTTACAGAAAACAATAAGCTCGGCTGTTAAAGGCTGTTCTAGGCCAACCAGTTCTCCCCTCTGTTTTTTTTTTTTGTAATACATATACTACTACTGAAAAAAATATTTTTCTCTAAAAAGCAAAACTAGCTTCCTTTACTCATCTAACAAGAACCATTACTTACTATAAATGACTTCCATGAGTAAATACAATTAATCTAAAAAGATAATATCATTTAAATCTAAGGTGTTAGCATGCAAAAAAAAAAAAAGTCAACAGGCCTTCCACCAATTCTGGGACAGAACAGAATGATATTTTCTGATCAAAAGGTAAGCTCCAATGATCCACAACATAACACCAAAAGAAATCTAACTCTGCAGAAAAAAAAATTGCCAAAACATCACTTTTGATGACAGTTGTTACAGCTAGGGAGAAAATGCATATAATTATAAAATATGGAAATATTAAGATAAGGAATTACAGAAAGCTATTTCTAAAATTCATTACATTCTTATTTGAAAAATGTGAAATCATTTTCTTAAAGGACTAATTAATTTTTATATAAATTAAACACAAACTTAATATTTAATAGTGATGCTCACTGCCCAAGTTTTTTTTATCTTTTCCTCCCCTTTATAAAGCTGAGAAAAGGTGGCGTTTGATGTGATTAGTCAAGTGCTTGGAAGTAGGATTTACTCAATTGTTAAATTGCAATTACACAATAGCAGCCTCTTCTGAAAGGCAAAAAAGATAATTTATTTCAATTTAGTTTTCACTTTATAGGTTTTATTATGGCCACCGAAAGCTCAGAGAAGGAAAAAAAAAAAATAAACAAACGAACTTTCCTTTTTCTATCTCCGGGTAAAAAGCAAATGCCAACGCACATAGTATTTATTATTTGAGTGTGTTTGAACACCCTGAAGGAAACAACAGCCCCAAAAGAGGCATATATCCAGTGAGCAGACAGGGTTTGCAAGTTGATCTAGGATACTCCTGCTAACATGTCAAAGGTGCATCTATAGTTAACATTAGCACATGCATCTACTTCAAAGTCAGGCCATAGAGGCTCTAATGAAAGCTGGCGTAACAGAGACCAGAACATCAAAAACTGATTTCTACTATTCTCTACTGTGCAAGCGGTCTGTTCTTCATTCCAGTATAAAAACCAAACTCTTTAGCTTAACCACTTAATACTTAAAGTGACTTGTCTGACTTCACAACAGGAACAGAGGGGAAACACTGCCATTTTTGTACAGTGGTCTCAGCTAGAAAGCAGATACTGACAATAGATACAACCACTGTAAGGTGAGGGGTCATGAGCTGTTAGAATTACCAGCATTGGAGGATTTACTGTGAGACAATTTAAAGTTTTAATGCAGACATGCTGCAGAATTAATAATGATGTTCAAATATCCATAATCTGCTCAGAATAACTGACTATACATTTTGTGTCTATGAAACATGTTTTACAATTAAGTTAACCTAATATGCAGGAATGAACTAAATTCAACTACTAGAAATAACTGTTCAATTAAAATACCGAAGAAAAGTAAAGTTAAATTTCCATCTGATCAATATCCAGAAAAAAAGAAACCACAAACTATTTGCCTACTTTCTTATTTCAAAAGTCCCCCAAAAAGTTCCACAGGCATATACAACATTATTGTTTACTCAGGCATTTATCAGTGTATCTTTCTGTTTATGCTAAATTTGGCATTTGACAAGTTTGGAGACAGTTGTAAATCAAGAGGGTTTGATTATAAACAACAAATTGGGGGTGGGTGGGTGGGTAGAATTCGAGTTTAGAAGTTTGAAAGCAGGAAACAGTCATCAAATATACCTTGCTTAATGATATGAAGTCGGGACCATGGTAATCTGATTATTTCTATCCTGTTAGAAGACACTTCTAAACATCCTTTCAGCACAGTATAAATTTCAAGTCATCCATCCCAATGAAGATTGCTTTGAACTCTGAATGCAACCTGAAAAAGTCTTTCTACAAATGTAGCCAAATAGTTTGACATTTTTCTTCTCAAATATACTTTGAAGTCTAATAATTAGCTTGGAGTTAAGTACTTCTATCCATAAAAACATTCTCCCTATAACATGCAAATATACACAGTAATTAGACAACAGGATCTCAATAATGTGTGAAAGAAACTCGACTTCCAGTTTGTAAAGTGCAAGAAATTTTTTTTCCAGAATTGGGAGAATGTTTAAAAGCCTACACCCCTCAGACAGCTAGCCAATAACTACACTTAGTAACTTTTTAACAAACAGATAGGGCAAACAACAGGGCCCACACTGCATTGCAGGTTGATTGAATAGGAACATTTGGCAGAAGTCAGCACCAAAGAGCTAAAGCAAATAAATCTTGAAGTTCACAGATATCTGTGGTTAGGGTTTTTAAGCCTCAAAGGGCTGTAACATCAACATACATAACCAGTTGTTTTACTCTCTGCTATGAGAATGCTAACTATTGTGATCTTTAGGATGACAGTGTAAGATGAAAACTGTGTTATAAACAAACTACACTCATTATCCAAATCAGCAAAACTACAAGTGATAACTTAAATTTCATCTGATCATACCGAAGAAAACCCACTGTCCCTCAAGCAATTAAGAGAAGCAAAGCCTTCAATGTACTGGCATATCTATGCTTAAAAACCCCCACCCCAACTCAAAGCTATCTTCTTTTTTTGCTTTCCCCACAGACTGAGCTGTAACATTTCCTCCATTGCTTAATCCTAGCCTCTTGTCCCTGCTCTGCTGTCTGCATGTTAGATCCAAATTAGAGCCGTTACTTTTAAGCGGCTGCAAGAATAATACCCTGTTTAACAAGAAAATACTCAGTTTATATTCACCAACTAATTCATAATGCAGATTCCATTCATTTACGTGGGAGCTACACACTGCCGATCATAAAAATAAGCATATTATAAAAATACAGACACATGCACAGTTCATTAATTCTAAGAATGGCTCTATTAACTCTTTCAGTAGCAATACAATTATTTTACATCTGTTATGGAGATGTATTAGTTACAATTGTATTTAAGAGATTCAAAGACAGAGACAACCAAGTGGCTTAGAACAGCTACTAAAAGATGGGTTCAAGGGGGAAAAGTTAAGAGAAACAATGGAATATAATTGTAGAAACAATATGGCTATTGGCACACACAAATCATACCAGTATGATTGTAGACTACATCTGTGATGCAAAGCATATTCCATTCATTTTTCAATTTTTCCACAAGAGCTCCTATATGGTTCCAAGTGCACTTAAATTCAGGATTTACTTCTAACTGATCAGCCAGTGAGTAACATGATCTAGACAGTCCAAGCTTCTGCAGTGGTGTAAAATGAATCATGTTGTAACCTACGTATTAAGAAGCCATTCATTTAGTAAGAAAAACAGATTACCACCAAAGTTAACTGAAAGAAGCATAGTAAGTTACAGTTATAACATGTACTTAAAACTAGTGTTTGGAATAACCAGGGTAAATTAATCTCAATCTTCCCCTTGAAATTCTACATAACACAAGCTTTAAAAATCACCCTGCAGCTTTACAAACTTCCAAGTATATCTGAAATCAAAACAATAAAACAGAAATATTAAGAAATCCTGGAAGTTTTACACATCTGCAAATATTTCAATAATTTCACTGACTTTATCTGTTAACTAAATTGAATCTAGTGGAAAATATTTAGTCTACAAACAAAAGAACAAATAAGCTTTTTGCACTGAAGAGCTTCAGTATAAGTTTAGTTTTTGATCATAAGACAAAAGCATATATCCTTTAATATGTGCATTAGCATTACCTGTTTCTTTTGCAACTTTAAGCCTATCTTCCCATTCATGAAATGGTCCCAGACACTTAGCGAGGAACGTCTGGAGCGTAACACAATCCAAAGGTAACACATGATTATCGGCTCCAACATGCAAAATAGGATCCACAACTATGTAACCTCCACCACTTTTTTCATTTCTAGGAAAAATTAATTTTCATTGGTATAGTAAACACCTATTGTACCAGTTAGTTTCAGAAAGAGAATCCAACAAGCACAGCTATTTCAAAAACACAGTAGCCCAGGACAGTGGCTGGGGGGGAGGCAGGGAAAAGAACTGCAGGATACCTGTAGAAAGCAAGAAACACTTAAGAGATGTTCATCTCTTAGGCATCATCTCTTTACTGGACTTAGAATACAGTTGGGATACAGAGCTTTAAATTCTGCAGAAGTGAGATACCTTTGTTATTTTCTGAGTGTACTATTTTCTCCTTTTAGGATATGGACAGAAACAAAGAAGGCATGATGGCCCATCTTTTATTCATTTGGATCACCATCCTCAGGAAGATACCTAAGCTAAATGCCCTTTTAAGCCCGAGGGAATTTAACCACCCATCTCTCAGAAACTTCAAATACCAGCCTACAATTATTAGAGATACAGGCATTCTCTTCTGCACTTGTCCTGCTGAAACAGAGGAAGGAAAAAATATGAAGGAATGACAGAACCTCCATGCTAGAAGGATGGAAAACAACCTTCCAAGTCAATGATGAAAGTTCAGATACTCAGAATGCTAATGACTTTGTAAACTTGTAACAATGACTTGCCTTTCCAACATCCACAGAAAACTGATCAACTTTGTTCTGCATATTCTCCAGAATATCTTTAGATCACAAAGTACTAAACAACTGCCACGGCTACTGTTTCATTAGCAGATTCAGATAGGTGCCATGGTAGCAATTTGAAAAATACATGGAAAAATGTTTTTATTCTTAACAGTGATTTGTTCAAGTTAAAATGTAGAACAAGGGAGCAGACTGCATTTGGCTGTAAATACAGAATTCCACTCACCCAAGACTGAAATAGTACTGGTATGACCCAGAAATTTGGAGATCCAGCTTGCAATATTTGTCAGAGTCATCTTCTTTTCCTGTGGGATTGTGCCATGATAGTGTCCTGAACTTATGGCGATCAAATACTTCTCCAGAAGCTGGATAATTTGTGTACACAGTAACAGGCTTGCCTTGAAGAGTCGGGCCCAATCGGAACTGTAGTTCAAAACCTCAAGAAAAAAAAGATAAAATCACTTTATCAGAAGAACTAGATATTTTGCTTACAAATCATAATTTGATATTATGTTAAGAAGAAAGTGCACCAACATATCTGCCAATAATTTTGGCAGAATGGGATATTTCTACAGCATCATCTCCCCGTTTTCCTAACATTTTTTTTGCACACTCTACATATAGTCCTTTTCCTTTACTTATACTGCACTATTCATCTCCTTTCCTCTTTGTTCCTCTTTGCTATATAAAAAAATCTTAAAACCAAAATACAGCAAAACATCATGACCATCAGATTACATGCAATTTTATGCAAATTTTAGATCATGTAGTATTTAAGTATTTAGGTTTACCAAGTCTATATATTAAGCTGACCCTTGAAAGTATCTGAAAAACAAATAGCAACATATTTAAAATCCCTTCATTCTCCATTAAGCGAACTAAACAGCACTAAATTCCTTATGCCCGAACCAAGACAACTGTGAAATGATATATACTTGTGTGCAAACTAAAATGTACAAATTGTTAAACTTTCAGAGAGCTCAACAAACCAAAGAGAGTTTTGTATACGTGCTGCAGGTCACACACACATAGAAAAAACAGTATTTAGGCTTAAGATACCAATGATAATGAGAACAAAATTAAGTTAAAATATTAGGACCTAAAACCATACTGTAGTCTGTTCAGTTGGACATGAAAAATTCAGTTTAGTCAACATGTTTAATAGGTTTCCACTTGCAGGTATGAGGTCCACTGTCATGCATATGTGTAATTACAGGGTCCTGCCAAGCAACTGAAACAAGTGTAAGTGCTTGCACAATAACTTTTACTAAATTACGTGCCAGTCACATAGTTAACTGTAGTAAAACACCTACTAGCCCTAGCAGTCTACAAAATTTGGAGTAAAAGAAACCTCAGTATTTGTAAAAAGAGAAAGTTATTAATACACAGATAATGAAATATAAAGTATAAAAAACACCTGAACAATGTCAAGTTCCAGTATGTGAAGTTGAAGAAAAGCCACTTAAGTAGAATCATGAGGATTCAGAATTCAATGTCTGAATACATTTAAATGTAAATCTCAATCTCATCAAAATCTCTGTTCCTCTTGTTAACATAATGGCCACTGCAGCAAACACCACCATGTAAAGCAATGGGTTTGGGATCTGGAATGTCTGTCAGGTGAAGATAACCTCATCTGATTGCCCCCCCCAAAAAAGTCTTATGTGGAAAAAATCACTTTTGGATTGTTAAGTACACCCTCCCCAGTACTGTGCTGACATTTTATTACAGAGATTACTAAAGTTAGAGCAGAGGGATATATGCCATTGATATCTTATTTCCTGTAACAGTTATACTGACATCAGGAATGCTGTGCTCAAAATTAGCTATGCCCTCGCAGAGACTGCCGCCAGCAGAAGCATTTCGAATGCTTGATACCCCTGCATTTCTGTACGACGCCTTCAAACAAATTACAGAACTGGAAAGACAAGTTAAAAATGGAGGTTAAGGCCAACTTCGTATTTCTTCACCACTGACATATCCTTAGATTAGACCGTCAGAAAATTCTGAAATCAATATAGCTGAATAGAATTGTTATTCTCAAAAATCAAAACCTTGCTTCTCTACTAAACCATTTTAATATTAGGTTCCTGTACCAGTAACATGAAGTAATAAACAACACAAAATTTCATGAGTAATAAAAATGGTTGCATCATTAAAAATGGTTTCTAAAGACAATGGCTTTGGTTTTATAGTCTGAATTTGCTGACCGGCAAAACAGTGGACCAATTAGTGGGGTGGTTTTTTGTTTGGTTTTTTTTGGGGTGGTGGTGGTGGTGGTTGTGGTGTTTTGTTGCAAATAGACTTAACAATACTTTCAGAGAGAAATAATGCCAAGTTCTTACAAGTATGCAGCCAGAATACTAATATAGCACAGCTATAAGAAATCTGACAAGCAAAATAAGATTTAGGAGGAGCTAAAGATCTCATATGCCGAAACAGTACTTTACACTTCACAAAATGTTAGCTTTACCGATATATTTCAAAATTGTAATATCAACAATGGGGTGCTGCATAACACATTGCAGATAAATACTAGAGCACTTGACTTAGGTGGTCTTTCTCAGGTCACTTAAGTACAAATTATAAAGCAGAGGTCCTGTCCTGCAGGGCCTGTCTAAAAAATGCTTCGCACTTGATTCCCATGAAGACTGACGGCTCCTAGCCCATCTGTCTTCATGTCTCAAGAGTTTTATGTGTCTGAGTGAACTGTAACTGCAGCCCATAGAGCTCTGCAGTGGAAGCAAGCACGTCAGAAATTGTTTCATATTAAAACAAGGAAAAAACCAAACCCAAACCCAACACCACTGCAGGCTGAGCTCCCTTCCACTGCTGCCCAAAGAAGGGTGTGAGCTCCCAGCCGTTTCCCTCTCACCCGGCCCCGGGGGCTCTCCACCACTGAGGAGGAGGCGGAGGAGGCCGCAGCCCGCCGCTCCAGACCTACCTTGCTCCAGCCTAAAGAGGGTCTTGTCCAGCTTCTCCATCTCGCTGAGGTGCAGCAGCCGTGTCTCCTTACCACTCGGCATGGCTGCGGCCGCCTGCCCGGCGCTCCTCCTGCGCCTGGAGACTCACTTCGGGGACGGAGAAGCGAACCCTGCCGTGAGGGACCAAGCAAAAACCCAGAGGTCAGCGGCAATCCCCGGGAGGACGGCGGCCCTTTGGGAACCCCTCACGCCGCCGGTCTCGCTTACATGTTCCCCAGCCGCAGGCGAGTGCGGAGACAAGGCGCTGCAGGGCAGGGAGGAGGGTATGAGGCAGCTGTCAGGAGGCACCCAGCCGTCCCCTGGCTGGGAACCACCGCCGGCAGCACCCCACAGCAGCTCCCCGTCCCACAGCGCGGCCCAGCCCGCAGCCAGAGCCGCAGAGGTGCCCCCCGCCCGAGCCGCCCACGGGCGGGGGGGGGAGCCTGACACCTGTCACTCTTCCCGCTCGCTCCGGTGCTGCCGGGAGCGACAGCCAGGCCCCCGTCACCGCCCTGCCTCCGCGGGACGCGGTGCCCACCTCAGCCGTCCCACCATACTCACGAGCGGGCCCGGAGAGCGGCGGAGGCGCAGCTCCCCGCTGAGGGCGACGACCGCCGAGGCCGAGCGGAGCCGGGCGGGGGGCTGGAGCAGCCCGTCCGCCCTCGACTGCTGCCGCAGCCCCTGGCCGTCACTCACACACTCGTCCAGCAGCCCCGAGAGACTCGTCGGGAGCGCTTTTTTCCTCCCCTTTCCTCGCTTTTTTTTGAAACAAACTTTATTGGTTCCGCCGCGGCCGCGCACGGAGACGGGCGGCGCCGGCGCAGCTCCCGCGAGAGCCCAGGGCCCGCCCCGGCAGCGGTGCGGGGCCGCCGGGCCGGGCCGGGCCGCGCCGCTCCCGCCCCGCCCCCGCGCTCAGCGCCCCGCCCCGCCGCGGGCAGCGGCCCTGAGGGGAGCGGGCCCTGCGCCCGGCGGCTGCGGCGGGCTGAGCGCTCCGCCTGCCCGGGCCCCGGCGCGCCCCACGGCTTTCGGGAGCGCGGCGTGCCGGTGGCACCTCATCTCCGGCTTTTACAGCCGTAGCCCCCATCAGTGCCCTCACACTCGGCTTATGCGTGCTGGCGGGAGAGCCCGCCCACCGAGGGGACGAAGGCACGCGAAACTGAAGCCCTGTGTGATTTAGCGGACATTCCACTGAGGAAAACTTGGCTTCAAAGGTGCCTGAAGTAGCCCGGCTGACGCCTTTGGGCCCAGCCTTCCCTGCCCGCGATGGAAACGCCGCTCCGCGGGGCTTCCTCAGCGCTCCCGCCCCGCCGCGTCGCGGGGCGCGCAGCGGCCAGGCGGCTGGCTCCTTTCTGATAGGCTGCGCCGCAGAAAAAACATGTAGTCAGCTAGGGTTTAAGTGCTATATATAGTATGTGGACAAGACCGCAAACTCCCGGGATCTGTCTTTGACCAGGAGGTAAGGTGGTTTAAAAAAAAAAAAAATACAAACCAAAACACCACCTTTGTTTTGAAGCATACTGTCATCTGAACTGCTGTCACCAAACAGCCCTTATCATTGATTTATATTGCAGAATATCTGGGACAGTTTCTCCAGGCCTCTCACCACAGAAGTCATTAGCTGCACCCCACTGTAAAGGTCAGCCTTGCAGCCTTGGAAGGTCAGTCTATTTTTATTGCCTAGAACTACATTAAAGAATTGTGCTTCTCAATTTACAGTCACTATGTTATAGTGTTTATTTTTTTTTTTTCTAAGGTGGTATATTTTGTGGAATTGGAGGAGTCTGCAAAACAATTTAGATTTAACCATTTACTTCTAGTCATCCCATGTATACCCTTATAATCGTGTCTTACTGCAATGTGTTCATCCAATTATGATGCATTCAAAGGCAGTTCAAAGGCCTCAATATTCATGGAAACACTTCCACCCATTTCAAACTGAGTTTGTTACCTTTTGTTAACTAATCTTTTTCTTTCCCCCTTTCCCTGCTCCTCCCTCTGGACATTTTAAGAAATCTGTTTGTTCCTTGTTACAGCTCACATTTCTTTGGTATTGTTGAGAAAGGTTTTCATGTTGGTGTAAGTGAATATGCCAACTTTTATGCCCCCTGACAAAATTAGGGTCCCTAGACAGACTGGAGGAAAATGCTTAGTAAAAGCCCCACTGTGTGTTTGTGCAGTTCCCCTAACATTCACCTCAGTGAGACTCATTCAGATATGATTCAAACATGATACTTGCAGTTTGGATTATTTTACATGGATATTTCCTGGGCGCCCAGCAGGATTCTGCCACCTTTCTTGTCTTTCCTAGCACCCTTATTCCTTACTCAGCTTGCTGGCCTGCATGCTTTATATACAGGACAGACTTACACCTAGCAGAAGCCCATCTCTCCTGGTAGGCTGGCTGTTTTCTCTGAATTGGACGTGTCCTAGTAAAGAAGATACAACATAGGAAGGGAAAATACAAGAAGCTCCAACAGCTATGGGAGTTGTAGGAACAAAACAAACAGACATGTCATTGAACGAGGTCTGGACCATCTCTTTGCAGTGGCCTTGGCAGGCTTCAGCATTCTGAAGTGACTTTGTGGTTGGTCTGACCCAGAGCCTTGCTCAAGTGCCTCTTCCTCCAGGCTTGCTGTTGTCCTGTCATGTACTGCAAACAGGGTGAGACTTAGACATTTCATGAACTGCTTGTGCCAGGAACAGTTCTAAGAGAGGAAGAGCAAATAATGCCTATATAGCCAAGTCCCTTACAATAATAGTTACTCTAAAGTGCATGCTGAATACCTTGTGAAAATCAAGAAAACCCCAAAAGGGTATTAGTGAAGGCAATTTCACCACTGGTACTGGGTTTTAAAATGTGGCTCTTTTGTTTTCCCTACTTAACAGGGAAACTCACCTGCTCTAATTACAAGGTTTGCACTGCCACATCTCCACTATACTATGCATTTAGACAGGTTTTGAAATGTACCCAAATTATGAAAAAGTATTGTTAAGTCTCTCAAGGAAACCAAACTAGCATACAACCTCCTGATTCCAAATCCTGAAGCAGTTACTTTGACCAACACTCGTAACTGTAGCTAAAAGAGATGTCAACAGTCTAAATGAAGGACTTGATCCACTACACAGTACTATTAAATCATTTAATAATTAGAATAGTATCATTACATTTCAATTCAGTATGAAAAAAATACTATTACTAAGATACTGAATGAATATAGGAGGCCCCTTCATGAAGTTTAATCAGGAAAGCAGAGCAGACTGCTCTAATCCTTTGTCCATCAACATCACCTCTTATGCTGGCACATCCCTTACAGGCTTTGGGCCTGTGTTAATTTAGCAGATGTAAATTGAGCAGGCTTTCTGTATATGGGAACCATGCCAGCAAAACACCAGTGCATAAGTGCTACCATTTAGCATTGCAGATATTGTATAGGACACAGCCAACAGCAATCACGAATGGCATTTGCTACATTGGCATTTAAATGGTGGATTTCACAGTGCCATTTTTATCTTCACTTCTCTGTGTGTGATGAGATATACCACAGCAGGAAAAGATCAACAGTTGCTTCAAAGCAAGAGCAGATGGCATATTGATGTCATTATCAGGAAATCATTTTCCAGTTTTTTCTAATACATTAATATCAGACTTCTTCAGTCCTTTTACATACACCTTCTGCGTACTCCCTCCTTTTCTGCTTTCTGTTTTGCAACAGTGTTACAGAACACTTATCCTAGCGATGGCCTCAATACACTTTGGGGAGCCTGTTCACAGTCACATCATATTGCTTATGCGTATTTTAAAGGTTATGACTGTAAAGTGTGGGAACTTAGAGTACTTACATGACAGTACTCTTCTTTTTAACAACAGAACAATAGCTCCCAATAACAACAGTAAAAGCCAGCTAGCACAGAGAGAACTTAACTGGACATCTAAACTAAAATTAAAAGCAGATCCCTTTGGCCGGTATGCAGGAGATATGAGACTTCATGAAATTTAAAGTGACAGCACAGTTTTTCTCAATGCCCCACACTCATGACCTCTACATTCATGAATTAACACTGTATTATTGTTCAAACAATAGGAAGTTTAGGAGATGTTGAATCTTCTGTCTAGCTGTTGTCTTCTAATGGGGAGATCTCATCCAGAAATGCAAACCTGATTTTGAAAGAAAGCTCCTTTTCTTTAAAACTGTATCTCTGCAATTTGATTAGACTGCAGTCTTTTCTGTGAGATCTTTGCTATGCACTGACTGAAAACAACTGCTGTTCTTAGACACATTTGTGCCCAGCAGGAATTTACATATGGCCTTGCTTATTAGAATTTAGTACTGAGAGAAAATATTGGTCATAAGATTGAAGTAATCACCTGTAGCCTGTTTTAAAAAAATCCCTTCTAAATAGCTGAAAAGATTGCAATAGCCTGATAGGCAGTGAATAAACAGTAGGCTGCAATAAAGTTGTCTATATAAGTAGGAGATGGAGAGGCTAGGACACTAGCCTGTGCAGTTTCTTCTTACTCAACATGTAAATGCCCGTTCCTCTAGTTACTTGGCAGCGTTGGTTTGACCTTTCAAAGATGAACCTGCTGTCATCATGAATTTTTAGATGCAGAAACATTTTTCGTTTGTTTTTAATCCTAGCTTGGCCATTCTTTTACTGTCTCAAACAATCAATGCTCTCTGCTTTAATGTCTGTATAAAGTTAGACTGCTATTAATTTTTAACAGAAAATTGTAAAATTCAGTGCATTTGTCTTTAAAGAGGTCCAAATAAAATTTTGTTATATTTAAATGTAGTTTTTCATGTAGTTGCTTAAGATACATTTGATTGTGTTGTAGCTAACAACATCCCATTAATTTTATATTAATTATCTTCTGCAAATGTGGTGACTTGGCAAACAAAATTTTAAACTAAGTGAATAGTATTCTTGTACCATTTAATTTAGTTAAGTGTAAAATAAATTCACATGTACTGGGCCAATTTTTGTTTTACAAGGAGAACATATTACACCCTTTTGCTGAGTCATTACCAGCACTTTTATCTTCCTGTAAATTGTCCTAGTGAATATGTTGAGATTTAAGACTTCAGACTATCTGTTCCTAAAGGAGCTGTAGTAATCTTTTATCAAGCAGATCTACTCTTTCAGTTTTATATTTCCTCCTCAAAAATAAATATTTAAGGAGTGTGTCTCTGCACACTTCATTTTCTCTATGATACTCCTTGCTACTTTATCAAGCTATATTGAGAATACAGTGGATATTTTCCTGGGCCATTAAAATAATAATCCTTAAATTTTATCTAGCCAGCTCTTTAAATTCAAATGGTAAACAACTGATTGCACTCGTGTCTGTTGTATAAAACTGGCATCTGATTTTTAAGTAAAGAAATAACTATGTACTAGTCCCACATAACTTGAGGTTACCTGAAAGCTGCTACTGAGGTCTGTGGGCCTGCTTTGTAATCTTTCCGCACAGACAAAATTCAAACCATAGTAATTTAAACAGTCTACCATGCTGCAATCTGTTGCAGAAGGAG